GCAATCCTCTTCCCGGCCATCTCCACATCCGCCGACTCTGTCACAATCGCCGGCCCCTGGCCGCCCAACTCCAACGTCACCGGCGTAAGATGCCTCGCCGCAGCGGCATGCACAATCTTGGCGATCTTCGCCGACCCCGTATAGAAGATATGATCCCACCTCTGCTGCAGAATATACTCCATCTCCGCCGGGCCAGCCGTCACACACCTTACCGCCTCAGGATCCAAATACTCCGGAATAATCCGCGCCAAAACCTCTTCGGATGCAGCACTCACATCCGACGGCTTGACGATCGCCGCACACCCCGCCGCGATCGCCGCGACGAGCGGCTGCAAAGCCAGCTGGAAGGGACAGTTCCACGCGCCGATGATGAGCGTCACGCCCAACGGCTCGGTGCGCACGACGGTGCCCCCAAGGAGGTTGACGGGGTCGAGGCGCGTGGGCTTCTCGTCGGCGGTCCATTCAGCCAGCTTATCGAGGGTGTGCAGGATGTCCGCTTGCAGCATGCCGATCTCCACGAGTGTGGTTTCCACTTCGGACTTGTGGAGGTCCGTTTGCAGTGCCGCGATGATGGACGGGCGGTGGTCTTCGAGCATCCACCATAGGCGGCGGAGTTGTTGGCGCCGCCAGGCGAGGGGTTTTGTGCGGCCGGTTGCGAAGGTTGTGCGGACGGTGCGGAGGGCCTTTTTGCGCGTTAGTGGGTGGGTTGGGTGAGTGGGGGAGGGGGGCAGGGGGAACGAAAAGGGCTGACCTCGTCGACCTCGGCTTGCGTCGTGTAGCCCATTATGTTTGTGGTTTGGTGCTGTACCCGGCTCCTGTTACGGTGGTGTTAGTAGGAGGATTAAGCTGGAGATGTATTTTGAGGGGGAATAGAGGGGAGCTCGGCTTTTAAGATCAAGAAAGCACGAGCTACCGCGGTTGTTGGGCTAGGGTCAACCGGGTTAGTGGTTCATTTATCGTGGGTTTATCACCGAGGAATGCGGAATGCGGAATGGGGCGCAGGGCGGGCCGTTGCTGGGCTGACAGCTCACGGCGGAGCTTCCCCACTCGCTGCCGCGCATTGGCGGCTTCACTTGCGCTACCATCCATGGCCATTATACGCATCCAACCCAGGGGTCAGCGGGTGGACGTTGCATGTGGGAGAGTGTGGTGTGGTATCGCTTCTATTGGATACACTAGAAGGTGATTAAGGTTGTGCCAAGATCACTAAAGAGCCAAAGCCCATCCAAATATGAGCGGGGTGTCGTATATAGTTCACCGCCAAGCAAGGAATCATTTCTCCCGAGATCACCATCACCATCACCCAAAATGTTACCTCGCTACCCGCTACCACCTAGACCAAAAGCCGCTTGCCCTTCTCCAACTCCGCGATCTGCTTCTCTAGCTGAGTCCGTCTTCTGCGCACTGCCGGATCCTCCCCTGCAATCTCCTGCAGCGTCTCCGCAGAGAAGCTGTGCACGAAGGCGGGCGAAATCAGCTTCATCGGTGCGTTGGGCCCGTGCACCAGATGGTAATCGGCCGCTTGCATGCTGACATTGTCCACGAACCGGTTCATCGCCACCTTGTAGTACGACCGTAAGATATCATGCAGGTCTTGCACCGTGTGGCTCTCGTTGCTCATGTCCTGTCGGTAATCGAGGTCGCCAACATGCAGGATTCCATTGACCTGCTTTTGCTCAACGTAGGCCTTCCACCGAGACTGACGTCTATCTGAAGGTCAGCATGTTTTCTAGCAAAAGCCGCAGAATGTATCTGCGCGGTAGTCAAAGAACGGACTCACATTTTCTGCAGTTGGTCGTTGAAATGATGGTCCAAGGTCTTCAGTGTGCCCTTCCGCTCAATGTAAAGCAGAAGCCAGACATGTTCCATTGCGCCCTTATACACTTCTAGCAAGTCGCCCATTATATACGGCAGCAGATTGCGAAAGACCCGTCGATCCGCAAGGCAGATCTGCAAATTGCGCATGATGAAGTTGTGGACGATGACGATGACATCGCTGAGATAGCCCAACGCAATGCTTTGCCACTTTATGGTCTGCTTGTTGAAGACATTGGTCAACATTGTAATGCTGAAATTGTTAAGTTCAAACCCTCGTGAGTTGTGATACTCATCTCGTAGCCATTCATAGATACCGTGCCTCAAGGGCTTCTCAATTATTTCCTGGTCAGTGAGGACATCTTCTAGTTCCATGACGGGCTCAGTCATCCTGGTCTTAAATCTAGGAGGACGTGAAACATGGCGAACAGAATCCCCTTCCCCCGCAGAGTGGGAACTTGATGCCTCTGGTCGCGTGGTAGCAGGGAATTGCATATGCTCAATTCTGCCGTCGCTTGGGGAAAGAATTTCGACGTCCTCACGGATACTGCTTTTCTCGAATCTGTATTTTTGACCCCATTTTTCGAACGATCTTGCGAAAGAGACTTCTCGGTTGACAACCAAAGTGGCGAGGCGAAGCTCCTTGTATTTGTTAAAGTTCTTGTCGGCACCATAATGGGTGCTTAGAGCTTGGGTTGTGATAATATTGAACCTGGTCACTGCATCGAGAAGATATCTTAATTGCTGGCTGGCGGTATCTCTCTCACTTCCCAGCATATCCAAGCTTGTTTTGGCTTCCTTGAGCTTTTTGTTGATCTCAGCTCGGACCTGCGAGGCTGTTAGCACATGTCATTCATGATTCCTAGTCATACCACTAACAAGAGGAAATGTCCTTCTGGCATTCTCGGTGACCGTCTCCTGCAAGCGCGTTTTCAAAGAGCTTATGCCATATTTGTCTGCGGCGACTGTGTTCCACAACTCAGTCTTGCCAAACTCGGCTTCCGCAGTGTCTCTGTCAACAGTCCCTTTCTCCATCTCTCTTTGCCCCAGGTTTCGAACCAGAATCCAGCCATATTTCAAGGGGAGCTCTCTCCCAGCGATGATTTCCAGGATCTTCTGCTCAGCCCCTTTGTCGACGAGGTCGGGTTTAGTCAAGACACCTAAGGTCCGCTCTCCGTCAGGATCTACCTCCCGTGCCATCTCGATGATCTCTTGGTTTGCCACGTCGACATTTGCCGCAACGACCGTCAATAAGATGGACCGCGGGTTCTTCATATATCCCAAGACCATCTCCCTCACGAGCTGGATGTCAGCTTTGGTTGTGCGTCCTGGTGTAGTCAACTTGAAGATGCCAGGAACGTCAATAACGCTGAGATGGTCCTCGTCAGGTCCGCAGATTTCCAGCCGGAATATGTCTTTGGAGAATGTCAACCTGGTAGGCTTGTCACGGGTGGAGACACCCATCAGTCCGTGCGCCTAGAGTTCTATTAGCAAAAGTGGTTCTGTGCCAAAGCTGTCAGGCACAGTCCGTAGATGCTTGCGCCAACTACGGCCAGAGCCTTCTGCATCGCAAGCCCTCCAGGAAACTTCATTGTGGAAAATAGAAGCGGTGCTTACCTCCTCCAGTATTGCAGCAAAAGCGACTGGGCTCAGGCTGCCCTCGAGGCTCGCACCCCAGGCCTGTAGCTCTCCTGCCCTTGTTGAATGTGAATCCGACGCGGGAATGATAGACGAAGCGATCCTTCTGGTCATAAGGTTTTTATTACGGCGAAAGATGAGCTGAGTTGCGAAACGAGTGCACAGCCCACTGTCGCGGGGGAATGGCAGCCGGGTGAGACCCTCGAGGACGGAGCTTTTGCCACTAGACTGGTCACCCACGACAACCAGCTGGGGAAGATTGATGTATTCTCCGATGTTGCATGCGAATAGACTGTCTATCTTGTCCAGCAAAGCGGGATCTGCCAGACTGGTATAGCCTGGAGCACCCTCTTCGAACATTTCTGTAGGTATGGGTACAAGGGGTTGTAGGCGTGTGTTTGTGTGAGACTCTGCTATTATGGAAGTCGTCTTGAGAATATAGGTGGCTTTTCTGGATCTCTGGTACAGGCTGAAGAAATGGTGGTTGTGGGTAAGGTAGGAGAGGGTTGATAGAGTTGCAGATGATTGAAGATAGATGCAGATTGCTGGGAAAGAACTTGGTGGACATGAGATGTGTAGTTAGAGAAACGTGAAGTAAGTGAGAAGCAAAATCAGTAGTAGAAGATAGCGTTCAGGTCTTGACGATGTACAATGGAGGATAAGTTTATTGGGTCAGACGAAGTTGCAGTCACTCAGGTCACTCCGGCTTCACTTTGAGAATCGGATTTCTGAGTTCAGCATTGGAAAAATGACAACCACCCAAAACTGTCGAAGCTTGTCCTGAAGTCAATCCAAACCAGTGTAGAGAAGAAAGAAAGGGGTCGAGTGGTGAGGTAAAGAGAAGTGCCGAACAACCGTGAAGAAGTGATGGCTAAGGCCTACCTGCCCTCCGGGAGGGCGGGAAGCCGACTGTCTTTCCTACACAAACCCTGCGAACAACGCCATCCCTTCTAGCCTCGTGGTTCACACGTCCTGAGGCTGTGACTATTTTCATAAGATAGCTTCACACACTAAAAACATCGAGCATCTTTCTTCTTGCTATTCTGCAACATAAAACACGCCCCACAATCTTCTGCAAAGCAAGAGACTTCTTCAAGGTTCATTCCTCCGTGAATTGAATACCTCGTGTCAACTATTTCTAATCCTCAGTCCAGAGACCACATTGCCTGACTCTTCATTCAACATGAAGAGCCAGAAGCCCTTCCGGCGAGCCACAAATCGTCTCACACAGCCAAGGCCAATCATCGCTCGATTTTGCTGATGTTCGCCGAAACCATGGCATTGATTTTCAATCAACAAAACAATAGACCGAGATGGTATTACAATATTGAGGAGCGACTATCCTAAAACTATGGAATCGAATTTCTATGGGACAAATTGTGACCCACCAGACCTTTTATTAAGTGCCCGGTATCCTCCAAGGAAGGCCAATCCGTGATATTTTGCACCCTCGGACCTCGCACCCGACCCTGCCCCAATACCATCAATCCCCCATGCTAGGAGAATTACGCAAGGATTCTCTTTGGAGAGCTCCTGGGGACGCGGAAATGTCAGGCATCACATACCCTGAGGGATGGTTTGAGGCGTGGACTGTTGTGCTTGGAGCATGGTGCGCCATGATCCCATCGATGGGTCTGCTCAATAGTCTGGGTATCCTGCATGCATGGACGAGTAAGCATCAGCTTGTGGATTACTCTGAGTCGAGCATTGGCTGGATCTACGGGGCATATGGCTTCTTTCTGTATGCTGCTGGAGCGCAAGCTGGTAGGTCTGTCTAATCGTTCTGACAAGCTGGTACTGAGCAGCAGCTAGGACCAATATTCGACGCCTATGGACGCAACCACGTCATTATTCCAGGCTCCATTGGGATTGTTGTTGCTTTGATTTGCTTGAGTTTTAGTCAAGGTAGCCTTGCTTTGCGTCCCCTTGGCAAGAAATCCCAGCCAGCTAACAGAATTAAGAGTACTACCAAATTCCTGTCGTTCAGTGTCTTAGGCGGGCTTTCCGCATGCACTCTCTTCACTCCGACAGTCTCTTGCGTGGGACACTGGTTTGACAAACGAAGAGGCTATGCGACAGGGATAGCATGCACCGCTGGTGGTCTAGGAGGAGTCATCTTCCCCCTGATCATTCTCTTCGCGGCACCTAAAATCGGCTTCGCCTGGGCAATTCGCATCATCGCGCTTTTCTGCTATACTTTGTCTCATTGCTTGTGGTACAAAGAAGACACGCCTACCTCGCAGCAGTGCCGCTAGCGCATCTGTCGATCTACGTGCTCTCCTGGACGGCAAATACGCCGCCACCACAATAGCAGTTACAAGTGTTAGGTGGCTCTGAGGATTCAAGTGTACCGTATCATTGTCCTAGTCTATGATAGAGTATCCTTGTACTCAAGCTCATTCATTCATGTCTCAAGACAGAAATCAGGTCCCTTTACGCAATGAAGCCTGACAGGGCAATATTCGGCGAACTGCCAAAGCTTTCGGCGAAGCAGGAATTCAGGTCAGCAAGCTATAGCGACAGTGCCTCTTGGCTGACAGCACTGTGCTGCGTCTGGCAACCATGTTCCGGTCGACTCGTCCGCCGACAATGTCTCTAATATCCTTGTATCGTCTTATGCTGGAAATTATCAGCGAGCTACTGCATGATCTGATGGCTCATCGCATTTAACCAGCATCAAAACGGACATATAATCCGGTCTCACCCTCTTTCAGTGCTCAAGTTCGCTCGTCACATCCTTTTTATCATCCTCTCCGCATCATGACTCTCAAAGAGAAAGCAATCAAAATCATAGCCAGAGTTCGTTTCATCTTTCATTCTTCAGATAGGGCTACAAGCAATAGACCCATATACCATGACCTTTCAATTACAGCGACATTGAATAATGAGTAAGCTATTTTCTCCTATTGGATACACTTTGCTAACTTCGATGACTAGAAATGAAAAAGACATGGCTATGATCATACGGTAGACCCAAGCACGCAAGCTGTCTACTCCTTTGCCGTACAATGGTAAGTATGGTTCGAGTCCCCGTACTCATGTAGAGATGTTACTGGGCTAATGCGACAAAAGGCGATCAATGCTTTGGTTCCTGCTGTCGGGGAAACGGGCACCGTTGGTAGATTTCGGTACTCGGATCCTGGGATATCACTCATCTCTCACAATCCATGAATTGAACAGATTGGATAATCATTCTTCGGTTCTTGGTCACCGTAGACCCACGATAATGGTAGTACTGGGTTGAAGATTCATCGTCACGTCAACTGCAGTACTTCCAGAGGTCTTCTTCGCTTCGGTCTACCTAGTATTCTATAAATGCTACTTACCGACAAGTCTGATCAATATTTCTTGGATATCTCTTAGCGTGGCGAAAGCGGTCACAATAGCATGTCCGCAGGCGTTGATTGTTAACAGCCTCCACCCGTACATCTTAACCATATCTTAGTCGAGCAAACATGCTCCTCGTCGTAAAAATTGTTAGGTTTATTTCTGAGCCTCAGTCAACAATGCGTCCCCTTCTCCAGAAGCTGAAAGAATGGTCAGAGCACTTGCCCACATCTTTACGTCAGCAGATTTTTCATAGCATCACAATGAAGAACATCTCCTCACAACCCAGCTGCCTTCGTTTCGCCTGTATCCTCTTGGAGGTTTTCGATTTTCGCGCTTTACTACGACCGATGGTCCGATCTGCTACTCCGCCGCCCTTGTTTGAGGAAACCCACGAGATACCTGGGCTCGCGGATCAGTTAGACGACCTCATCAACCAGCTATTTGAAGTGAACGAATTTGAGCCATCATTGGCGATTGAACTGTCAGATGGGAATGGAAGTGGCAATGCGGTGCTCCAAGCGGCCGAAAGTTGTGCAGCAAAGATGCTCCGTATGGTTATGCGGATAGGCTATGGTGATAGCTCAGGCTTTTGGTACTCATTTATGTTATTCCCTATCATTATGTCATTGTTCGTGAAATACATGAACAACACAGAGCTGACAGCGAAGGGTCCCGTATCGGCTTTGCGACCGTCTCGAATTTCCTGATCCTTTTTCTAGTGCAGGCACCGACACAAGACCACGCTCTTCGCGCCAAAAGTCTTGTGGTTCTCTGGCGAAATGCACTGCGAAATCAGAATCAGACTTCTTCGATAGTATGTCTTGGACTCGTTAGGCCGGAGGCAACGCTGTGGGCCGGGCTGAGTAGAAATTACTACCTGCCAAGCCGTGTCAAAGAGATTCTTGAGAGGGAGTAGTTTGATTTCATTACTATGTATTAAGTAGTTGGTTCAACCTTTGCAACGATTAGACACTTTGACCGAGTGGTTAAGGTGCTGGCCTGCTAAGCCAGTGGGTTCGCCCGCGTGAGTTCGAATCTCACAGGTGTCGTTTTTTTGGGTTTTCCGCTCCCTTCCTTTTTGCCCACTTCTCTCCCAACTCTTATCATTTCATGGAGTTTTAATCTTTAGGTTGCTCTTTTGGCAACCTAAAAGTCTGTATAACAATCACTTTAATAAATACACCACTCAACTCTGCATGACTGCGACTTTTCCCATTTTGGCAACGGTTGTTTTCCACCCGCTTGTTCGAGATATATGTTGGCACACGGCAGTATATTCCGACACGGATTATCGCGAGACATGGGAAATCTATGGGACACAATAATATCCATAAGCATGGACTTAAATATCTTATCATACAACTTATACTTCATGTTCAGCGTATCCCAATCGCTAGCATGACTGTCCACTAGATCATGCGGTGTATGGTTCAAATCGGAAGTGCTTGCGGAGCCCCATGGGCAAGGCATCCTTCCTAGCCTGCAGGCTTTCCGCTCCTTCCTACCTACAACAACGCAATCTACTACCGACGCAGCCATACCGTCAACCAGGCATGCAATTCCCGAGTCATCAGACAAGCACAATAAGAACTTCGCACTATCCGACCGAGAGAACTCTTCTGGATGACCCGGCAAGAGAATAGTTCGGATATGGCGGCCCCAACACCGTGCTGCAGACTCGGCATGCGCAATGGACGCGCTTTACAGGCACGGCACGCACACAGCCTAATCCTCGTCCTGATCAGGTCTTGGCCTTTACTCGCAAGACCGGACCTGCGGATACAGACAGTCATGAGTCAATATTGACCGGCTGCAAACGATTCGAGACATGAGATTATGAGATTGGGGCAGAGCGGCATCATATACCAGATACACCACGTGCTGTGGCTATATCCTACCAGATTGTTTTGCGGAGAGCCAGAAGCCGATCGCGAAAGCAATGAGTACCGATGCAGACCCTTCATTACTAGTCACTAGAGCTCAGAAACTGGGGCTGAGTCCTGTGGGCTGATTATCGTCCAACTGGGCATTTCCGGCTAAATGCGATGGACGTCCGAGTGTGGCTGCTCCGCATTTCCCCTCCTTTGCTCTCCCCGACCTGGCCAGCGGGATTCCCCGCCCAGACATTCTATCTCTCCTTTCCTGACTCCATTAGCCGCCAAATTTCTCTGAGGCCTAATTGCAAGTGCCACGCCGCCGAATAAGCCTGAAGGCTTGAGCTTGTTGAAACCCTGTGCTACACGAAAAGCTTGACCCCAGACGCGGGCGGATGAAGTCGCTCCCGGCTATCCCGGCTGTCCAGGGTTAGGCCGAGAACCACACCAAACCCGCCCGACCACAGACACCCCCATGGGGTTTGTTAAAGCTTACGAATTAGGAAAGGAGCTGCAGATGCCTTGTTTCGAGTGACACTCGGAGACAACCGCCGAGACCCAACCGAAAGTCAGGCTAAATGCTGGACCCAATCAAGCCTCGATATACCCGGCCACGAGGGAATCGCATGACATGCGGTGACGCTGCATCTATCCAGAAGCATACGCTTACCGGCAACGTCTGAGCAGGGAAGACACAGACAGCGAAAACAGACCTGACTATGAAAGACGTGACTCCCCTATGGAATGAACGGGCTCGCAGATCGATTTATAAAGCCCACGCCCCCTCTCTTCCCCGCTTGCCGATCACCCAGCTTCTCCTCATACCATTTCCGGGGGCATTTCGCGTCTTCGTGCTGTCTGTCTTGACTTCTTTTCTCATCGCAATAGACGGCATTCACTTCACGACGACATAACAAGACGCGATGGCTGTTGGTGTGGGCGCTGAGGCTATCTCAGGCAAGCGCGCCGAGCTCGCGGGCAACCGCGTAGGATGGCGCGGCCTGCTCAGCAGCAAGAAGACCTTTTCGATTGCATTGTTTGCGTCGCTTGGTGGTTTTGTCTATGGCTGTAGGTAGTTCGTCTGGAGTATTGTGTGAAGATGCTTATATTTTTCTCAGACAACCAGGGCATGTTCTCGGGCATTCTTACGATGAACTCTTTCATTCTCGCGGTATGCACTAAATTTGTTATTCCTCGTGTGACACGTTCTGATGGATACAGACCCAACACTATGCAGAACAGACCGGTACTGCGCAAGGCATGCTTACGTCGATTTTGGAGCTGGGTGCCTGGGTGGGTACTCTGGCTAACGGATATCTCGCGGACTCGCTGGGCCGTCGGCTTACGGTTGTCGTGGCTGTGATTGTGTTCTGTGCCGGTGTCATTGTGCAGGCATGCACCAAAGACCCAAGCTACGTGTTCGGTGGTCGTTTCGTTACCGGTCTGGGAGTGGGTAGTCTGAGTATGATTGTGCCACTGTACAATGCTGAACTGGTAGGTTTTATGCCGATCGTGGTGACCTAACCAAATGCTGCTTGCTTCTCAGAACTGACTGGCGCAGGCACCACCGGAGATTCGCGGTTCTCTTGTCGCTGTGCAACAGCTGTCGATCACTTTCGGAATCATGGTCAGCTTCTGGGTAGGTGAAAGCCATAAACTTGCGTCATTGGTCCTTGGCACTAATGACAAGAGCAGATTTGCTATGGTACAAACTACATTGGTGGCACCGGCGATGGCCAGTCCAAAGCGGCCTGGGAGGTACCGGTCTGCATCCAAGTCTTACCAGCCATCATCTTAGCTTTCGGCATGGTCTTCTTCATGCCTCAGTCACCACGACACCTTATGAATACTGGCCGCGAAGAGGAGTGCCTAAGCACCTTGGCCCGCTTGCGCGATGCCTCAACCGATGACATACTTGTCCGCATCGAGTACCTCGAAATCAAGTCCTTGAAGATGTTTGAGCAAGAGACTTCGAGGAAAAAGTATCCTCAGTACCAGGACGATTCTTTCAAGAGTCGATTCATGATTGGTGTGAAGGATTATGCTTCGTTGGTCACGGACAAGTCACTCTTCAAGCGGACCACTGTTGCAGTACGGTTGACCTCTTGCGTACCACGAGCGAGGCTGACTGTTATCTAGTGTCTTGTGATGACATTCCAACAATGGAACGGGATCAACGCAATTAACTACTTCGCGCCTCAGGCAAGTATTTCCGCCAAAGGTAGGAATCGATATAATTAACCATGATGTTCAGATCTTCAAAGAACTTGAACTCGGCGGTAACACCACCAACCTCCTCGCAACTGGCGTTGCGGGTATCTTCGAATTTGTCTTTACCATTCCTGCAGTGCTTTGGGTGGACAACATCGGTCGCAAGAAAATTCTATTGGCCGGTGCTGCAGGCATGGCAATCTGCCACTTCATCTGTGCCGGACTTATCGCCACGTACGAAGGCGAGTTTGGAAGCCACCGGAGTGCGGGCTGGGCGACTGTGGCATTTGTGTGGATTTTCATCATCAACTTTGCCTATTCATGGGGTACGTCCTAGTCTCCTGATACAATGGGTGTAATTCTAACAGCCAGCTAGGTCCCTGTGCTTGGATTGTGGTTTCGGAGGTTTTCCCTCTCAGCATGCGAGCCAAGGGAGTCAGTCTTGGCGGTAGTAGCAACTGGGTATGTACACTCACCTGTTTCTTCAAGAGCTCGGCTAATTCCTGCTAGCTCAACAACTTTGGCGTCGGCTTGGCAACCTCCCCCTTTATTGCACGATCCGCCTATGGAACCTTTATCTTCTTCGGGTGCCTGACGGTGATCGGGTTTCTCTACGTCTTGTTCTTTGTCCCTGAGACCAAGGGCCGCACTCTGGAGGAGATGGACGAAGTCTTTGGATCCGAGGGCATGGCCGCTGAAGACGAGGCCCTCCGCCAGCAGATCGACCGCGACATCGGTCTGACGGCCTTGCTGCATGGTGAGATGGACGCATCCGCGGAGAAGATGACCACCAAGACGGTGCATCTGGACGACGCTGCCGTGCCACCGCACACTACCGAAGCGTAAGCCGGCAGTTGCACGGTGCCGGTGTAGTCTGGTGCACGGGATGGCGTCGGTAGAGCCAGCCCATTCAATCTATTATCCTTCCTTTTACCGAAGAGGGCTTGCTGATCCCGGGAGGCGGCTGCATTGGGGCTGAAGACGAGCGGTCAGGGCTGACTCGGTAGGGCAGGGTCTCTCTGAGGCTAAATCGAGGGAGGTATTTAGCCGGGATTGAAGGCCGGGGTCACAGTACATACCTTAGTCATAAATTAATGAGCATTGAAGAGCCTTGATTTTCAGCCAAGTATTCAGTCACAGAGCCATTTACAGAAAGGGAGCCCGAGGCTTGAACCTAAAAGATGAGCTCCGTGCTCGTCAGCGGCTTGCTCGTGGGTTCTTCATTGCGTCTTCCCCGTGGGCGGCGGTTACACCCGCCATGCGGAGAACCCCTCCCAGGTTCGGTATGCTGTCGGGCTTACGGGCTAAGTCCGGATCAGAGGATGTTGGGACGGGTGGGGGGAATAGTAAGTAGTAAGTAGTAGCAAGTGCAGGTACTAGAAGGCTAGTATGCCTTGTCCATGGCGCTGTTGAGGTTAGATACGGCGTTTAAAATTAAATTCCTCGTTATAATAGTGTTTCTACCTCGCTGGAACGATATCCTCGCTGTAACGAGTCTGTCGCCACATCGATTTCTCGAAATAGCGTTCCATTCGATAATGAAACATCGCCATACCGTGCTATAAAAATCTTTACCTCTTTGTGACGCTTTCTCTGACCTTGAATCTCGAAAGAGTGGGATCGCGGCAGCGGGAATGAGGACGAGGAATGGCACGTGCTTAGTGTTGAGAAGGGACATGCACGGTGGATTCCGTGTGACTTTTGGAGGAGATGGCGAAATAGGGCGCATGGGACAATGATGCACTGTGGTCTGAGTGCATGCTGGATTAAGCAGAGGACTATAGAACAGGTAGATAAGCCGTCGGACAGGAGCTTTCGGCTAGGTGTCGGTGGAGTATGAGGTTGTGCGTACGGAGAACAGGGTCAAGATTCCACCTGAGTGTAAATACTTGGATAATACCTCTGATTAGACAAATCTGTATGCTATGCTAATAACGCTCAAATATACTGCCGAAATTAATCAATATGACCTCGTGCCAGGTGTGCGCTCATCAGTCGTAGGAAAACACTAGTGATCTCCCACCGTCAGCGCCGCAATCAATGCAGCCCCGATCCCCGAGCCGTCCTCCGCCGGAACGAACGTGATCAGATCCTCCTCCTCCGCTGGCCATTCCAGGATCTCCCGCAAAGCCGCAGCAGCCCGCTCCTTGAACTGGTAGTTCTTGCTGAACGCCGACCCGTCCACGCCGACACGACCCCGCGTGAGCCCCTCCTTCTTGCAGATGGCCGCAATGCCGCAGGCGTACAACCGAGCCGCCCGCGTGCACACGATCTCCGCCAGCTTACAGCAGGTCTTGAGCTCCTCGAGCTTGGGCTCGATCCCGAACTCCTGCTTGAGCATGGCGCGGGTCTCGGCCATCTGACTCTCCGCGGCAGCGTTCTCCTCCTCCATGCGCGACAGGCACGAAGACTCCATCGCGTGAACGTCGCGGAGATTCCGGAGATCGCAACCGCTCAAAAAGCCCACTGTCTCGTGCAAGTGAACGATGATCAACCGGAAAAGTTCCCCGGTGTAGAGACCGGCTACCATCTTCTCGTACGTCTGCTGTCCCGGTCGTGGGGAGGCGCGGTCGATCTCGAGGTCGAACATGCATCGCGGGAGGACTTTGTGGCTGTTGTCAAAGGCGCCGTACTCGGTGTTGATGCCGACCAGCTGGTCGGTGGGAAGGTTGTGGGCGGCGATCTTCGGAATGCGGCCGCATTTCTCCATGTAGGCGGCGTTGCAGCCGGTCCCCAGAATGCTGCCGATCTTTACGTCGGGGTCTTTGTAGGCGGATGCGATTAGTGCTCCGGTCGTGTCGTTGACTAGCGCTACGACCCGTACCGGGATGTTCTGTTCAGCTGTCAGTAAGAGAGGTTGCTTCGAGGTGTACAACAAAGATTGAAAACTCGCATACCCTTCGCTCTAGAGCCTGCTCCAGCTGTGCTACCACGTCGTGTCCTTCGACACCTGAGATATCCCACCCCTTTGTCCAGCGTTGGAGGACGCCGTGTCGAATGTTGTCTTGAGTGACGGGGTAAGAGAACGTGAAGGCAAGGGGAAGTTTCTCCGACGCGGGTGGTGTGAGATGTTGCTCTTGGATGAAGTCTTCGATGCGGTCGGCGATGAAGGCCCAAAGCTCGTCTGCGGTGCAGTGTCTCATGTGCTTGGGGAGTTTGAATTTGTGCTGCGTCAACTCGCATCCTCCTTTCTCCTCGGTCAAGATCACGTTGCAGACGCGAAGGTTTGTACCGCCCATATCCACGGTGAGATATGAACCTGTTTCGTACCCGGTCGGCTGGTTCATCACCCACGTCACGTTCATAGGCTAGATACTGTTAGTGGCAGGATGCATGATGAGGGAAAACGATCTCGTACAATATCGCTGTCGTCATTGCTGAGGCCTGTACTGGGTTAGCAAGTGAGCATGTGACACGGCTAGAGCATCCACAGACCTTTTTCAAGCTCTTGAACGAAGTGGTCAGTTATGCGCCGGAGTGAGTCTCCATCGATGGTGAACATCTGCGCGATGCGCTCAACCTCTTGCGATACCTTATCTGGGGTATCTGTTGTGTGTGAGTACCAGGACCAATCACCAATCACCGCCAACTAAGGCCTTACCCTTAAAGACAGGTGCAGTTGGGGCACAAGCTCCCTGGGCCTCCTTCATTGTGATCTAGTGCGCGGGGTAGACTCTGGGGATTAGAATTGATGTAAGAATAGCTTCTGTCAACAGGGACGGACATAGAAACCTCCGCAGTGTTATATAACTCTCACCAAAGAGAAGGGTGAGGGGTAGAGGCCCTTGCGCACCCATCCCACGCAAGCAAGCCACAGAAGGATTTGACCCCATCATGACATCTCCCTCCTTCTCGTCGGGGGGTAAGGACCGTGTAGAGAACGGAGGAGAGAAGTCCGGATAGAGACCATGTGCCGGGCCACCTCCCAGCCAACCAGAGGTGTGCAGACCAACTTAAAAGTTGGCGATCAGTATTTGGTGGGGCGCCGAGTCAGGGCTGGCCCGGCGAAATCTCGCTTTTGATCCAATTGTGACGTCGGCCCGATGTGGATACGGGACTCGGGATGGACTGTCGCCGTTGGGAGCAGTCGGCTCCGGCCGCATGACGATTATCTTACCTCTCGCATTAGTGGAAGGGGCCCGGTGCCCTTCTGCATTCCTGATTGAGGATGATCTCGTGACAGCATTGGAATGTCATGGAAGCAGAATGTTTCCGGGGTTGCCGAGGCTGGGTGGTGGTTATCAACGATGTACGGAGTACAGTACGGAGTACAGTACGGACAGTACTTGGCAATGGTGTGGCGCCGCTGCCGCGCGGCCGGGCAGACGTTCTGGATGGTTCACAATCAGGCATGATCCTGGACCTTCTTGGGATGATTCGCCATCAGGCCATTGAATGTCGAAACGCTGGCTGCAAGTCGAGCTTCGCGAGCTTTGACACGACCTTTCATGCAGGTTTAGCTTTGAATGTGCTATCTAAAACGATTGACATGTTAGAAGAAGTGCAGTGTGTGCTACAATTAGTTGAAATGAGTGCGATGTCGCACTGTAACTCAAGCGCTTGCTTGTCTGTAGCTTGGTTTTCGTAGACGTGCTGCAGCAACACGTATATTTTTGAAGGGCCGACACGGAAACAGCATCCAGGCACACACAAAGGATCGAAGAGCACTCATCTCGAGGATGATTGTAGAAGCGGCTGTTTCATGATAGCGTTCAGATCCCATGGGGTAGGCTGAGGAGTTGAAGGTGGGAAAGTTGCATGTGTGGAAATGGAAAGAAACGTGGGGTGGCCGGGGGTCAGTCAGCCAGTGATCGACCCCCACTTCTCCAGTCTTCAATCCAATCTTACTCCTCCCACTTTGGTTATCACAACCACAACAACAATTGGTTCAAGATAAGCATTTCCTCTCTTGCAGTCGCTGCAACGAACTTTGGGTCACAATCATCATGACTTCTTTATCCTTTCAAATTGACTTTGGGATGTTTTCCAAACGGCCTGCATCTTCTAGAAAATTCTTTTCTGTTCGTGGTTTTTCCGCTTGACCGATTTCGAAAACCACATTCAACGCGAGAATGACCAAGTCTCTCATCCAACGACTACCTCACTCTGCACCTAGGGAAGACTTTATCAACGCCCTGAAACGCGATGGGTGTGTCATAGTCCAGGACTTTACCACGTTGGAAACATTAGAGGAAGCAAGGCAGGAAGTCCAACCGTGGCTGGAGAAAGAACAGCAACGGAGCAAGCTGGGTGGTGAGCTGATTGTATTGTACCATCGTTAGCTGTATAGTCTGACAGACAACAGCCCTCAATGGCGGAACTCGCACCTGCACACGTCTTGTCGGGCGCAGCAAAACCGTCCGCGAGAAGTTCTTCTCGGATCCGTTGTATCAGGTAAGATCCTGCTAAGTTATTCTTGCACACAAGTTCCTAAAATTCTACCAGGACCTAGCTGAAGAATTCCTCGCGATCACCACGACCAACTGGTATGGCGATGAGCCGTCCACCAATGCCACTCACCCGCTTCTTTCAATCGCCATCACGATGGAAATTCGGCCCGGGGCGAAAGCACAGAAGCTTCATCGCGACGACAAGAACCATCATGCCAGACATGCTCGTGTTAATGCGTACCACGCGAATCGCGACATGCTTCTCGGCTTGTTTGTGCCCGGGTGCGATACTCGTCGTGCGAATGGAGCCACGCGCGTGGTCCCGGGTAGCCACCTATGGGGCGATGAGAAGCCGGACTTCGGCCCTGACGGTGACATGGGTCTCGTTGATGCTGAATTACAGGCCGGCGAAGCTATGATCATGTTGGGCAGTCTCTACCATGGAGGTGGAGAGTTCTTCGAGTCTTCAGGGGGACGCATGATGCACATTATGTTCATGTGCAGCGGGATTTATCGTCAGGAGGTAGGTTGAAAATTGGCTTACTTCACGGACGAGCGACTGAATCTGAATCTAGGAAATATCCTATCTTTCGTATCCGATTGAAGATGTGCGGACATACTCAAAGCTGATGCAACAACGGCTGGGTTGGAAGCAATCCGAGCCGAACCTGGGATGGGTTGATCTTGTCTCCCCCGATGCCTTATTGTGATGGCCTGCACCGGCTGAAGTGCCTTATGGTAGCATTATAAGGGATCAGGCTTATCAGTAATATCTGGGCGGTCGGTTGGTGTAGCTAGGTATGCTAATGTAGCTTGTATGAACCTAGCCTGGTTATGAGAGGGATCCTGCGCCTGGCGCTCGAGTATGCTCGGAATATCTTGAATCAACTGTGTTGCGCCTGATGTAAGGGAGACGCGGATCTTTAGTTGATCATGTCAATCCGTAGTGAGCCAGACTAACATACTGTTGACTTTAGACGAGCATCGGGCGTGGAGAAGATGCAGTGTAAATACGGACCAAGGTAAAGGAGATGATACCTCTGAAACTAACACGTTTGAAAGACGACTGCATTGAACAGAGCTCCGCTCTGGCAAGCACCAGCTGAATGTAAACAACGGCGGAACCTCGCAGGGGGAGTAATGATGCCGTCATGCCGATAAGAAAGTTCATCCTACATAAAGCATGGCTGCCGGACTCGAAGTCTTCCATCACCTAAAATCATCCTCCTTATGACCAAACCCACCGTTTCTGAATTCGTGACCAGAATGTTCGAGCTTTTCAAATCTCTCTTTCCACAACCACAGAACCATTTCGTCCCTCATGCGAGCGCAAAGATGCCTGTACCTGTAAGAAGGCCGCTACACCAATAGAAGTTAATTAGGGAGTGCTGTTCCCTATGCAATCCCAGGCCTGCCGTCAATGCGTATGTAACTACCATCAACGTGTGTATAAGCTCATAAGACCACATTTTTCGAAGCCGACTTTGTACATCAATGAGGATACTCTGGACCCGAGGACAGTAATGCAGGAAACGTTGAATTGATTCAGAGCAGAATTATGGTATGCGCAGCGAAAGAACAACCGAATCCTTGGCCTGTTACGAAACGGATCCTTGAGGGAGGCTTTAGCTTACTAATACATCCCACGGGACTTGAGAGAGTGGACAGGTGTGAGAGGGTGCTGTGGACGCGACTGTGGCTGTTGTTCGAGGCTCAGCTGGGATATGCGGCCCGGAGTGCGATGGATGGATTCCTAGTGTGCGTGATTCATGAAACATTAGCGTCAGACTGATGCATATTGGAAGCCGCGCGGCCTGTCCAGATTGACCACCTAGTTGCACTTGGAAGGAGCTTGCACCTTGCTCGTGATCTCCTTCTTCTACCTGTTCCTCTATTCCTTCTTGGTGCTGATGTTCTCGGTGTTCCTTTTCCTCCTCAAATTGCTGGCCTTGGGTGAGATCGAGGAACCAACATGGATAAACTGCTGAGGTACAACATGTCACCCAGTTGCTCTTTTCTATTATCGCTCGCTGTGAGTTTGGATCTAATGAGCGCCGCCCCAGCCACCAACATCCCCCGGGCTACCCTTGCCCCGTACATACATATAGTATCTCGCCTTGAGTCAAAGCACTTTCATGCCAGGAATGAATCTGAAAGACGATTTGGTATTACTTAGATTAAACTGCATACACGAACGATAGAGAAGAATAACATGGATCATAAAAATCGTCAAACGGGCATTCACTCCCAGCAAGCGTAATCCGGGAAGTAGCGGTCATGAATGCGCCGCGCATATTCCACCACCACAGGTAAGCTTTTCAAGATCGCCTGAGTTTCCGGACAGCTGGACACCATGAATTAGAATCGACCATGCTAGATGTTGAGAAGACTTACGCAGAGCAAACCAAAGACGCAGCCAGAAACCCAAACAGAACCGCATCAGCCTCGGTCGGCTCCTCGCCGCCCAGCACCCAGAACGGCCCATCACCCTGCTTCTGGGCCTTGCGAGACACCAGCAGCTCGCTTATACTCATCCAAACGTCCTCCTTGAATCCTTTCAGCTCTTCCAATGTGAATCGCAGGGTGCCCTGATTGTACAGCATCTCCCTCTGTCTCCGGTAGATATAGTATCCCACGCCCACCTTGACCGGGTACGGCAGCGCGCTTAGGGCGTGTTTTCGCATCTCGTAGTAGTTCTCAATCCATTTCTCGTGATTCTGTTGCCTGAATCAGCTTATCGAACCGTGTAGGCAATGAACCAGGCAAGAAAAGGGGAAATGTACCAGATAGAAATACAACCGGTCCTCCAACAGAGCCCTTACTCCAGCATCCAACACCTTCTTCTCCGCATCGAGATCGTGATTAAGATCAGTGATTACCCCATCCTCGATGAATCCACGGGTGATCAGAGCCGAGTCGGAAATGGTGGTCTTCGCGCCCGTCGTCCGGTCAGTGATATCGACGTACGGAATCTTACCCCGCGGGCTGCCGAGCGGTGACCCGGCGTCCGTGCGATACGAGATCCCCGCAAAGCGCAGACGAGCTTCGAGCTTCGTGACGAAGGGGGACCAGGTATATTTTCCAGGCCAGGGGAAGCCACGGTACAGGGTGATCTCGGGGGCTTGGCTGGATGTCATCGTGAAGTGTGTGTTGTGTTGCGGAGAGGTGGAAGAAGTAAGCTTATTGTCGTCTTTGCTGCCGGGTTGTTGGGCGTCTTATAGTCGGGCGCCTAAAATCCGCAGATGCCGAGAAGGATCGTAAGGATCGCATAGTCTCTGTTCGCTTGGGAGATGAGACGAGCGAAGAGATCTTAGCGGCGGGTTAAAGTGGTTACTATGTAGCCTCCTCTTAGCTTTGAAGTCAGGATGTACTAGAATGTCTTTTGTTGGTGTGCATTTATTGGTGGTTGCCTAAGGCTAGCCGGGTGTTGCCTTGACGCTAGTGTTGCTTCTTGTTAGTAACTTGGTTTCTTGCAAGTATCCACCTTGGTATAGTCTTCATCCTTCTATACATTCTTTGTCCGAAGTTAATGACTAGAACTTTCAGATTTGAGATCTCAGTTGAGTCGTGTCGGTGCACTCGCAGGAGATATATGGTTATGCTCGCTCCGTTCTCCTTGTTGGAAACCGTCCTTCATGTCGCAAATCGCCATGAAAACCTGCAAGCCGTATCTCTTCTACTACACTCCAGTGCTGAGATAGACGCAGCAATCATCCACGACTGGACATCCCTCTATCTCGCCTGCCGCTACGGTCATGCAGACATAAACCAGTTCCTCATTTCTTACGGCACAAACGTCAACAAACCCGGATCCCAAGGATGGACGGCCCTCCACTACCCCGAATGGGAATGCCACGCGGATTGTGCTCTCGTTCTCCGAGCAGCAGGTGCAGAAAGCCCCAAGCCCCGGAAGTGCGCTGCGAAGCACGCTAGAATTGCTTGATGAGATCAATCGGCGGCGGTTTCAGGGCTATCCCATTCGCAATCTTTTGATATGGAGCTTGATAGATATCCAGCTCTCAAAATCCTAGAGATTGCCGTGGAACAAATAGCGGTATTGTGACTGGACAGGCTCTGCTGTACCGGCACAAGCACCTGAAATTGCATGAAAGACCAAGACTAAGGACAATATAAGTTACGCGCGCATCAGAAAAAGCTAATCATCGAATCTATTATGCTGCTTCGTGGGCGTTTCAGCCAACTAGCAGGGGTCGCTGCACGTTGCTAAGCCTCAGCGCACAGCCTCGCTCTAGCCGCTAAGCAGCCTACCAATTTTTCCCCGACAGGACCCTCTCCCATGCCTCCTAATCCCTCGTGAACATAATCTCTCATGAACAGAGAAAAGTCCTTGAAGGTTACATTAAGCATGGTGGCTACGTTGCACTGTCCTTCGAGACCGAAAACTGTGGACGAGATCACATCTCGGCTAGGCGATTCTGCATGCGACGAGAAAGAGATATCGGCGCTGCGTGCTTTAATCTCGCAAATGGTGGGCCGATTTCGTGACAAGAGCCGTCCCGGTTACTATGTTGAAGCGTCACATCTGTCACGAGCCACGACTCCGAGACAATACCACCACTTGGCACAAGTCTTCTCGCGGGCGATCGTGGTCAACGCCGAAAAGGGTTACGCACTTGACGGGGATCTTCTCCCTAGCTTCGTCTTTCTCCTTTGCAATAAGCCGGAAGGTTACTCGCGCGATGGGCTTTATGCGGCAGTCAATGCATTGCGTGAAAGGCTGGACTACAAAATCCGCGAGAATGCATTGGAAGCTCAATACCTTCTGTGCTATACGCTCGGCGTCTTGCTCGATGTCGCGGTAGATATCAAAGCGTCAGAGATTGAGAAGGATTCCTTACGAGACCCACTTCTCAAACTACTTGCGGATTTGAAGAAGGATCATGATGAGCCACGCTTGGCTCAAGCGGCAGCCTACGCGTACGAAGCGCTCAGAGGTATTTCAGACAGTCAAGGTCCCTGGGATATCTTCTGGAGCAACAGCGGAAGGGTCATTGCAGTGGCTGCGAAAACTGCCGGGGCTGTCTCAACCATGAATCCAGAAAAGCTACTGGACGCGGGGCCAGACTTGATGGAACTTTTGAAATTGTCGAAAAGAATTTATGACGGGGGCAGGGAACTAGTTGAAGCAATGAGGAAGATAGATGAAGCGTTTGTTGAGAACATTCGCAGACTCCCACATCAAAGGCTCTGGTATGGCATACTTCGGTACACTAGTATGCTTATTTTCGCTGGCGGCAGCTCATTTGACACCCTGGAACACATATTACCTAAGGTCCCCTGTGGGGATAGCTGGCAGTTCTGGTGCGGGTTGTATGCCCAACTCGAGCAAGGCTTCTTGTTGGGAGGTCAACGGGAAAAAAGTCGGATCATCCGAGTTGTCAACGTAACATTCGACCTGAAATCTTTGCAGGAAACAAAGGCAAAAGATTTGCGTGTTCAGCAGTGGATCAACCTGATTTCAGAGACGTTTGATCAGAAAGGATGGAAACAGTCCTTACCAAGAGCTCGAAGATCTTTTCCGTTACGCTTTTTGAAGAAACTAGAGTGCGAACCGCAAGTGAGGAAGCCTTTTGACCCGAATACGGCAGCAGCCATCGGTCGCAGTTTGTTGAAAGATGCGTGGCACGAGTGCAAGGAGGCGCAAAGGTTCTATGCCGATGCCGCGTTGAAGGAGTATTATTTGCAACAGAACCGGCTTAAGATACTACGTCTCTCAAACGACACTCTGGACATCAATAATTGCTACATTAACCTTGGAATTATTGAACCTTCCCTAGACCGACAAAACCAGAAAGCCTTCGAGCTATCCCTCCAGAGGCGTCTACGGGTAGAAGCACTGGGCGAGGGGAAAGCACTTGAATTACAAGAACTTTTTGATGCCCGCAAGCTAAGAAGCCATGTTGATTCTCCCGACAACCAGTTAAGAGCTCCAAGACGCATTCTTATTAGAGGCCGTGCTGGAGTGGGAAAGACAACCTTGTGCAAAAAGATTGTTCACGACTTCATCAATGCCAACTTTCCCCGGTGGAAGTTTGAACGGGTGCTTTGGATACCCTTGCGGAAGCTAAAAGACAAGCCTACTCTAGATCAGTTTCTTTGCCATGAGATTTGGTCGAATCATCGCGAGAAAGACCATTTCATCTCTGCTCTACTGAGAACAGTATATAATCAAGCAGACAACAAGACTCTTCTGTTGCTGGACGGCTTCGATGAGATTATTGGCGCGAAGACTCCCAGTGGAGACCTTGTCAAGTCTCAACCGATTTTGAATCTTCTCAACTACCCGAATGTCATCATTACGTCCAGGCCGCATGCAAGACTTGATAAATCGATTCAGGACTTCGATCTCGAGCTTGAGACGACTGGTTTTCGCTCTGAGCAGGTAGAAGCATACGTCGACCAGATTGTGGGCTGCATTGGCCAGGACGAAAAATCTGCAAGGGAGATCAAGCATTTCATCAACAGCCACTGGTTGATAAAAAGTCTTCTTCAGATTCCTATCCAACTGGATGCTTTATGCTTTGCTTGGAACGAGAGGCTTCTTTCGCAAAAAATCAGAACTATGACTGCCTTGTATCAGGCAATCGAAGTCAGACTATGGAAAAAAGACATGGTTCTCTTGGGAAGGGTGAGCGAGAGTGAGGCTGATAATATATACGTACGGTCTCAAGTTGAACAAGCTATGCATGACCATATCGAGCTAATCCAGAAGCTCGCTTTTACTGGCTTATACAACAGCATTGTTGAATTCACACAACAACATCGAATAATAACATATGCAACATTGCCTGGCTTGGAAGGTAAATCAGATAATCTACTCAATGAAGTATCATTTCTTCGGAGCTCTGGTTCCGGGAAGACTCACCAACGCCAGACTTATCACTTCATTCATTTGACCTTCCAGGAGTTCTTCGCTGCTCATTACTTTGTGCACTGTTGGATGACTGATACCCCGCTGACATGTCTCGAAATGAACTCGACCGAGTGTCATTATCTAGATGCGGAACAGTTCATACACCGCGAGAAGTATAATGGTCGCTACAATGTCATGTGGCGGTTTGTAGCAGGACTTCTCCATGGAAGCGAGAATCAAGAAAGGCTAACCCAATTCATGCAAGTTCTGGATAGTGAGCCAAAGGACTTACTCGGATTTGCACACCCTCGTATCTTGATGTATTGTTTCAATGAGATCCTGCTTCCTCCCGGGCACAGTGCTCTGCGGCAATTGCAACACAGCACCGATGTGGAGCTACTGGCTGCTTTAGTGGGATGTAATGCCCTTTACTCATTCCTTTTGAGTACTGAAATGGAGTTCCCGGACCACTTACTGCGGCGCATCCTGGACAATTCAGATGAGGAACTCGTTATCAGGACTCTCCGCGATATATCAAGCCGTGCCTGGGTATCACCAGCACTCCTACAAAAGATGAAAGATATTGTGCACATCAGTGAGTCCAATAGCTTGAAGCAGAGTGCATTCCTTGCTCTCATTGCGCATGACAGATTCTGGCAAGAGCCGCTCCAAAAGATGCTCGAGACTCCAAAGCTGTGGATAACAGCAACTCATGATTTCGTTTTTATGGCGAAAATGACGAGGGCACAGGAAGAATTCATCAATACATTGTTAGCCAGGATCGAGGCAGAACAGACTCCAGTGCCAGAGTTGGTTGGTACCATACGATGGCAGTTCAGGCTAGCTAAAACAAATATAACGAAGCTTGTATCTCTGCTGAAGGCGCGAGAACCACCGTTGAGGGAGTTTGCTGTGACCACACTCGGGAGTCATTTGTCTACAAACATCGATATCATACCGCGTGTTCTGGCTCTCCGGCATGATAGTGATCTAAAGGTGAGGCTTGCGGTCATCCGAGCTTGCTCCGCGCTCTCTGGCAGGCCATCTGTTCTTGATACATTACACAGTGCCTTGAATGACGACGATGCAAAAGTTCGAGAGCTTTCTGCAGATGCCTTGCGGTCAGAAGAATCTTTGCCCATCGAGATTTTGGACACTCTGGCGTTTCGAATGGAAAATGATGAGGACGCTATAGTGAAGATAAGAACAATGGAAGTATGGAGCAAGCATTGTGCCTGCCCAGCGGACATTGTGGAAACTGCCGTTCCATTCCTGGATGACGGGAACTCTTGGAACGTTAGGCTTGCGGCAGCTAAAGTCATCGGCCGTCAAAAGCTTCCTGAGTCTCGAGTGCGCTCTTTCGTGTCTATGCTCAAACATAAGTCGGAAAAACGAAATCTTGTGCTTGAGATTCTCGAGGAATATTTCGCACACTCCAAGCTCCCAGATGAAGCTTTCGAAGCCTTGCTTGAGATCTGGAGCCACAATGATGACAATATAAGCGGCCTCGTGCCAGTCATGCTTCGGATCAATCATGACCTGAGTGACGATGTTCTGAAATCTTTGGTCTCTTTCCTGGGTCATTCGAATCAGGAGCTTCAACAACTAGCGTGTTGGGTATTTGCCGAACAGTCCCGGCTGCCAAAGTTTGCCACCGTCCCCATCTCGGCTCTGTTGCCCGACCCGGATCTGAAACACGAATACACGACGGCCCTTGCGCTGAAAGCCCTGGGTAGGGACCCGGAACTGCCGGAAGACATTCTCGAGGTCGTGATCCAGACTCTGGAGGCTTCGCGATCATGGAAGAACGTGCTTAGTGCTGTAAATTGTCTCAGAGCACAAAGGCATCTCAGCCAAGGGCTCTCACAAGCCATACTATCAGCCCTCACATGGTCCACGACATTAGAAGTTGAAAGTCTCACTCGCGAGCGTGATGAGTTTAGCACGGTGCTGCCAAACCTCGATGGCGAGCGTTGGGAGATGTTGTTCAAAGTCTGGATAGAGAAAGGCCTGGCCTCCGACTTTTCTTGTGTTCTTCATGGAGAGGAACTTCGGCTTACCACTCCTGAGCGTGCTTTCAGCGTCCATTTGTCGACTCCCCTACAGCGGGAGACTGTCAGAAAGGCAGCGAAGGCTGCTCGAGCGCGGGTACTGGGTGGCTCTGGTTCGGTGCGCGAGTAGGCTTTTAGCAACCTAAGTGGTGATGCTAGCTTAGGTTTCATTTTTAGACGGCTGCATGACTCGATTGAAGACCACACCGTAGGCAGTTTGATACATAGGCATAATCTTTCAGCAGACTGCGCACGCTGTCAATCGGTGCGATTTACAAACCTCGCCATAACCTCTTGTTTGCACGCGAGATGACAATCCAGGCTTTGCCATCCTCAGTCTTGCTTGCGTCGCGCTATCTCGGAAGGGTAATGGCCTTGTGCGTCCAGAATGAGTGACCGGTGCGGTCATTATCGGGATTGGACTGATAGTGTCACATACACTGGGAAGAAGTTACCGGTGTCACGTTAGTCGTCCGCACTACAAACAACTATTGCCTCAAACACGTCCACTACCTGCGCATATCTACTTGTTCAGACCAAGAACTCATTGACAAAGTCAAAGCACAAGGAGCGATATAAGACCTGCTAAAACTCCGGCAGTAGCAACACCAAACTGTCTCTGAGACGATCTGCCAGCACCATTCAATGAAACAGGGACACCAGTACTGTTTGTGGAAGTCCCATTCGTGCCATTAGACCCAGTAGTCTGATTAGCAGTCGCGGCAGCAGTAGCAACGCCTTTCTCAGTGAAGCCTGCCAGATTCGAGAAAAAGATGCTGGTCGCACTGAGCTGTTCCTCTCTCCCATCAGCCCCGTCCCATGTGTCCGAGTACCAGCGACGACCGCAGAGCGTCTGGTTGTTCCCACCCGTGCATTGCTTCGCCGCTCCGACAGCCGACGTCTGCAGACGCGAAGACACCTCAGATGAGATGTACGGCGCGACGATACTGGCAAGCATCAGATCCGAGACAAAAGTCCCCTTGTACGTGTCTTGGAGCGAGTTGCAATTCTCTGTGGGCTCACAAAGGATTTCCGACAGGATCAGGCCGCCGTACTTCTCGGGGAAGAATGTCTCCAGCGAGACGTTGAGCAGGCCGTCGAGACCGGACTTCCATTTGCTGGTTTGACCGTTGGTCTTCGTCCTCGTTAGTTGTTGTTGTTGTTGCTCTAAGTTGTCTTGCAATGACTTACGTAGTTGTACATGTAGGCTGCACCGCTGATATACGGCCCGTAATTGGCCGTCCACTGGTTGTTTCCCTGCGTGGTACAGCCATTGTCCACGTTGGTGCTGTCTGCAATACTCCAGGTTTCGTTGTTCAGCAGCGGCACGCTGGCACTCCAGTCCCAGATCTTCTCCGCCCAGGCCGCATACGTCTGGTTGTGGGTGTACCGGGCCAGCCGCGCAGAGAGCTGGAAGAGACCACCGTTGCTGATGGCATTCTTTAGGGTGTATCCGGACCCAAAGGGCCAAATCTGCCAGCGCAGTCCGCCTTCGCAGTTGCTGGTGTCCCATCGCGCGACTTGGGTGTTGAAAACGCCTTCAGCCAGAGCCAACCACGACGTCTGATTGACATCCTGGGGGTAGTTCAGCTCTGCGGCGGTCATCGCGGCAAGACCCCAGGCCATCTGGTCGTCATTGCCTATCTGCGAGCTCCAGTTCGACGGCATGTAGTCGTTATCGCCAATCTGCCAGTACATGCCCTGGGTGACGGCGGCGTTGTTGGAGGCGTCGCCGGTGAAGTACCAGTACTGGATCATTAGGCTGAAGAGAACGCCGCCCTCTGCCCAGAGGCCGGGGATGACGCCCGGAATTCCCCCGGTCTTGTTACCGTTGTAGTGCTGCATGGTGTTGAATGCGGCGGTGGCGGCTGCATCTTTGATGGACTCTGAATGACAATATGTTAGCGGAAAACAAGAGTCGAATTGATCGAAATCATGCGTTCATTGTTGATGTCCAATTCGATGGCGGACACGGTACCCGCAACAAGCGTAGCGACATATGCCGCTTTCAGGAGGCACTGGAAAGTATTTTTCGCCATATTCACAGGCACCGTGAGAGAATCTGAGCTGTGGCGGAAGGATGGCAGGAACCGAGTCATCCGGGGTGAACCAGAGATCTTAAGTGATAATCCACGAGCCAAGCGTCGGGAGACGCCCGCCTTAGCGTGTGCCAATTCTGGCAGAGCAATAGGCGGATGCTACTGTCTCACTGCCTAATTCCCTAAACGGTTTCACAACAGTTCTTCCAGGTGGAGATGGACAAGTCAGGAACCGGCTCAAAGAGGAAAAGGCTAGGGTCCTGCATCTGGGGCCGAAGACCAAATCAACACTGCGATTGGACTACTGGAAAAGATGTAATTTCGGTTGTTGCGTTGGCGCCAAAATCGGACCCCTTTTAGGGTTCCGAACTATTGACCCCCGCTGCGGGCCGTCAGGGGTGAGCTTCGGAGGCTTGAGCTCGGCGGTGCCGATTGCCGAGAACTGGAATATACTGTACAGACCTTGTGAAATGTGGTTGTTTGAGTCTTTTCTGCCTCATTTTGGGGCCTGTCAATTCTCTTGGTCTCGACTTTTCAGATAGTTCGCGTTGGATTGGGCACTTCGTTCATACTTACCGGTTCGACCTTGGTTTTGTCTTGCTAACTAACTGCCACGATGGTCTAGGATGCATGTCTCGCTTGTCGCTCCTCCTTCCACTTTCGTCTGGTCTGGGGACTTCGATGGCGTCTGCTGTCAACGGAAGCCTTATAGCTAGTGGTCACATGCTTAATCTGACAGCATATTAGACTGGAGAGAAGTCAGGAAGAGGTATGTCTACTCCCACCAGACATTCTGTTCAAGATATCTCGTGCATTCCTCTACCTCCCTGCTCTATAACCCTTGAGCTGAGACCCAGCTAGCGCATTTGGACAACCCAGAGCACAACATAGCATGATCTTCGAACACTCAAGACATCGAAGACATATTTTTTTCCAGCACCGAAAGACATCTGGGTTAGATGCCAAGACTGCATAAAAATTCCCATCGGAGAAGGGCAGCGCATTGACACATTGAATATAGAAAAGACTCCGTCATTTCCCCTGCCCACTCAGATAGAGATAAGGTTATCTCTTAAACCAAGGTCCAGCCACACGCGACGATCGCATTTACCCACGGGACGATGCGTTCATCCCATTGCGTCACACCGGGCCGATTTCCTGTTTGGGCTATCCGCCACAACCTGACTGAACCGACCAACAGTCCACATTCTTGAGAAAAACATCTTCTTCAATTCTAACTCACCCCATCATATTCCCTCTATTGTTCATTTTGACCTCTACTTGAATAAGATTCATAGACACAACAACCACAATGTTTGCCTGGTACGCCTACCCACTATACTCCAACTACTCACACCGAAACTAACGGACAAACCAGGTACCAACGAAGTCTCATCCAACGACCCTACCTCACGCAGGGTCTAACCACAGCCGTGCGCAACCTGTCCCCTCCCCCTCAACGCAGCAATCCCAGAACTAACCAGACTGCAGGCCCTCTTCGCCCTAGGCGACGGCCTCGCGCAAACCGCCATCGAGAAACGCCCCCTGTCCGAATACGATGTAATGCGCAGCAGCCGGATGGCGCTGTACGGTGGTGGTGAGCTTGCACGCCCCCTACCCTACCATCTCCTCATTCATCACAAAGATACAGCACTAACAAAACAAGCCGTCTTCGGCCCCGTGGCCACAAAATGGTACCAACTCCTGCAAGCCCGCGTAGCCTTCCGCTCCGCAGGCAGCACCCTGGTCGCCCGCGTCGGCGCAGACCAGCTCCTCTTCGCGCCGACGATGATCGGCGTGTTCCTGAGCAGCATGTCGCTCCTCGAAGGCAAGAGCCCCGCCGACAAGCTGTCCCGGAGTTACTGGGACGCGCTGCGCGCGAACTGGACGGTGTGGCCCGCCGTGCAGGCGGTGAATCTATTCCTGGTGCCCCTGCCCTTTCGGGTGTTGGTGGTGAATGTGGTCAATGTTGGTATGTTTTCTTTCTTTTCTTTGGCTAACGGTCGAGGGGGGGATTGGGGTGAGGGGCGAGGGGGGTATCTTAAGGATGTTTGCTGACTTTTTGGGGTAGGGTGGAATTGTTTTATGAGTTTAATCAATAATGCCCCGCGCGGGGAGGAGCAGCCGATTGGAGCTTGAGTCATTTGTAGAGTGCTGGGTAGAGGTGGTTTGGGTTTGGGGTTAGATGGAGGGGTTCTTTATGTATGATTCAGGTGGTGGTTCGTGTTGCTTGGTTGTATAGATGGTATAGATCGGAGGGACTTGATTCTGGGTATGGTTACAGCGACAATGTATTGTACTTTGCACTTTTAGCAGTGAACTCCATTGACCATGCACATTGTCATCCGACAAGGGCATTGAGACTATTTCGAGAAATCCATCCCATGACGTATCCGGTGTAGATCGGATTCGGTCATCGTGGGGTCGGCGGCAGCCTTCCTATTATAGCCTAGCCGATCGGTGTCGGAAGATTCCCGTTTGGGCTGATCCGCCTGCCGACCCGATTAGGAATTCTGCTTGCGATCCAGTTCTATAACGACCGAGAATGATTGGTGGACATGTCCATTTATTGAATGTCATATGTACGAGTTGTTTAGGTAAATAGAAAATGAAATGAATTGAATTGAATTGTACGAGTCGGTCACTAGCTTAGAAACTCACGCCATTCATGATACTGTAAATTAGATCTCTACTGGTTCTCTCACTCGAACCCTTCTTCTGCGAGCGTTGCCATCTCTCTAGCAGAAAGCCAGCCGAGCCTCCTGCTCCCAGTCGAAGTTCTCTAAAAAGGCCATGAACTCTACATCGTCGCCCATGGTGGCTCCATCAGACACCATATCCTCTGAAGCAGAGCTGCTAGACGGCACACCCGACAGCACACGGTCCAGTGCCTGTGAGATGACTTTCTGGCCTCGATTGCTTATCTCGTAGTCGCCCTCGTTCTGAGGGACAAAGGTGTTGAACTGTGCAATAAACACGGACAGTTTCTGGATGATCTCCGACCGGGGGAAATGCGTCGAAGGCGCCGTCAATGACGCGAGAGAGTCGGTCTGGGAGCGTCGAAGTAATTCGATCGACAAGACACCGGCGGCGGGTAGGCCAATATAACACAACTGGATGTAGAGTGCGTTAGCCGCGGAGGACGATGCGTCCGGGTGGATGACTTACATCCCATTTCACATGCGCAGGAACGAGTCCTAGACGAGATTGGATGGATATCACCTTCAGCAGCAGCGTGATGATCTCCGACGACGTGCAAATCAGCAAGTCAAGTCCTTTGCCGATACGCTTGAATAAGGTTTGGCATAGTAGAAATCGCTGATAGAGAAACTCTAGATGCAATGATGCGAGGGTCGGATCTTCTTTGTCGTCTGTCCATTGCAGATGTTCGGGTAAAGCTGAGTAATATTCGTCCGACCTACGGCAAACTTCCCTGTTCGTGCCATATTAATAGGCAGGCTCTTGGTGCTGCTTAGGAAGAAACCCACAGAACTCTCTCTTCCAACCCACCAAGCTCGTGGCTCAATGATACCTCCAAGACACTCTCGCGGAAGAGACTGACAATCAGCGCGCCTCTACAGCTTGCGCCTTTGTCTATTCGTCCATCAATATTCCACCCTGCTGCATCTAGGCGCTGAAGCGCCGCCTCTCTGACCAGCGGCTCTGCCACTACCTCATCATAACTGATATCCAGAGGAAACTGAATGTTGCAATAGCGCCAGCATATTCGGGGTGGTCGGCCTAGACAAGTGGCAATATCCTTGTCCAGAGCATAAGCTGCGACCATAGTTCTCTTCCGGATCTCTTCCAGGAAGAACGGGGCATCATCCGCTGCAGCAGGCTGGTGAAGGCCTAAGGCAAAGACTGCAGTAGTGAGGTCTCCGAGCATCTGCCATGTCCGATGATCTGGAACGATGTTAATTTACTTAGGATTTGATTTCAGAGCCAGCTAGACACTCGATGGAATTGTGACTTACCACAGGCTCCATGCAAGGAAGAGAGGAAGATCGTGTGTTGAACCATCGTCCAGGACAGTGGGTCGCTAATAATACCTAGGTGATTACAGAATTGCAGACAGGCCTCAGTGGCCTGGAAAGTCACCTGGCGCAATCCTTCTTTGGTTGTTCCGGGCGAGCCCTTGAATATCTCGTCGAGCTCTTGTTGGAGGACTTGGAAGGTCGTTGAGCCTGCCACTGCAAATACAAGGCCGATCATGTCCCACCGGAGCGCATATTGAGAGAGGTAGTCATTCAAGGACATAGAGGATCTGGTCTCAGTTGGAATAGCCGAGTTCTTAAACAGGACCCGGGATAGGTCCAGGAGCCGTGCGTACTTATTCTCTGATCCTGCGGTCGCATTGCGGTAGGAAGCTCTGAATTGTGCAATTAGTGCTCCCGTTAACGGTGGACCGAAGAGCCATCCTGGTCTAATCTTGTTGCGATTTTCTATTAGTTTCTCGTACAAGTCGAGATGCTCGAGCAACGAGAGTACTTGGGCTCCTTGATTCACCCGCTGAGGGTCCAGGGGTGTGGCTGTTTGCGAGAGCGAAGCACGAATCCCTAGCTCCAGCTCCACCTCATTGCTGACCACGCTGCCCGAGTAACTGGTCGGTCCCAAAAAACCGCTGCCTGACAGATGACGTTTGGAAATGTTGGGAAACTGTGCGGCTCCCAGCAGGCTGACGGACGCGGAGCTCCCGAGATTGGTGACGGAAATTGTCTTCGCGCACAACAGCGGCTGGGGATTGGCAGTTTTCTGTGTTGCCTTGAGGATCTGGCCAGACTGGCGCGGCTTGGTCAGTGGGGCGGGATGGTAAACACAGAGGTCCGATTTACCACGGCGCTCGCAGCGTTTGCAGGTCGGAGTCGAGTGATCGCATCGGAGCTTGGATTTCCGGCAAGGCTCGCATGACGACAGTTGGCCGTTGCGACGAGGCGCAGACATGGTTTAATTCAACGTTCAAAGGAATTGTGTGACTCCGCGTGAGTCGAGATGAGTCAACCCTGTGAGTCGAGGTCCGACGCAGTGGGGAGTGGAGAGAGAAGGTGAGTGAGAGGGAGAGGGAGGGGTCTGGAAGGGAAGATAAGCTCGCGGAGAAAATGACAGGAACGCTCAGGGCTGGTCCGATGGCCCGTGCGTCTACTCCGAGGGCCGACTCCGGCCAGGCAGTAACGAACTATACGGACTGGACTATACAATTCCCTCACGATCAAGAGTGTTATATAAGTGTCAAGAATCAGCATTGTGGGAACTAAATCAACAGCTACAGACAAGCCACTTCTGTCAATCCCACTTCCAAATCGTCAAAGTGATTCCATCAACCGCATCAACAGCATCAACCCTCCTCGCAACAATGCCTTCCAACCCATTGAACAGCATGTATCGGGCCATCCGGTCGAAGTCTCCCAAGAGTGGCAATGGCTCCGAAGACTCCAAGTATTCCAAGAACAACGCGGACTCGAAACAATCCAAAGAGAACGCGGCCTCAAAAGAACATGCGCAGGACGATTCTGCTTCGGTACTCAGCGATGCCACTACCCTAGCTCCTCGAAAGGACGAACAGCCGTCGAACAAAGGCAGCAGTCAAGACCGAGAAGAAATCGATTTCAATTCCGTACGATACAGTAAGTACCACCTGCACGACCGAAGGATCATCGTTGTGCAAAGACCTCGCAGTTTGTCAACCTGCTAATCTCAAGACAGTGATGCGAGGAATGGCGACCCGTCATTAATACCGCAGTTTCCTCGATGCGCACCTTTATCTGCACGTTATAGCGCTTTTCATGAGAGATGACCGATCAAAATGTATGGTTATGGTTTGGGATGAGTGGACTTATGGGTTTGTTTTTGGGGGACAGAAGGGGACGTGGTTTGGAGTCTTTTGTTTGGGATGCTCTCACAATGCATAATATGCCACCAAACGCGCGGCACAACGCATAGTCACTGCTCCGAAAACAAAATGTGTGAGCGTTTAAGGAACTCAGCCTAGCGACATCATCCTTTGAAGTGTTCTGAGTATGATAATCTTTGTATAGTTCGCATATGAGAGTGGACAATCATTCAAGGGACATTCTACTACCCATGGAGCCTTTTGTTAGCGGTCAGTGAAACGTGGGCGCCTACAGATTGCCATGTCGGCTGCTGATGACGACTGCCTGCGGTTCTCGAACGAGCTGTAGCCCGGGTGTCGGGCCGTCGCAAGGGGACGAGGTTGTTAGACGTTTTGTGTCACTCAAACTCTAATATTTCTGTCCTACCGTCAAATCTCATGCGCAGTTCCTTGGACAGACAGACGCTGCTTGGTAGGCTGTGTGGTGTGCTGTCGAAGAAACGGCGAACGGACTATCCCACCACTTTCATCGAGTGATACTACGTTGCCAAGCGGTAGGCTTCCTGCCAAGAATCACTTGTAGATAAAGTAAAGCTTGACTGTCTCCGACATCGCGAATGCACGAAGGGTGGTCTGTGAGGTCCCTGATTGATTTCGGAAGAGCTGTAACAAGCAGAATTTTCTCTGCTGCCGGTTGGGCAACCGTTCCACCCGGCGCGGTGGTTCAGCTCAAGATTTGTTTCAGACGAATGGGAGTTTCACCGCGGTGTAGCAGGTAGAAGGTAGAAAAGTGTTTTCGGAGACATGACGCAGGGCTAGACCTTGCTTCTAAGGCTGTCTATCGATAAGGCTCATTTTCGCGGAGGTTAGCGCAGACCCTGGAAGGGGTTGGGAGATGAAACGCACAGAGGGTGGAATTGCTGGAGTCATAGACCCTCATCTTGACCAACCCATTGGCTATGCAGTATCCTTGCACAAGCCAACCGGAGAAAGGCTCAACGCCATCGGTCAGGTTTCTGATGCGATGGAGGCGATTACGTGGAGGGGCGCGGCTGGAACCGCAGGGCCGCGTGTCGTTGGAGCTGCCAGCCTGCCAGGGACCGACCGGCTGGCCGATCGGTCGGCGGCTCCACTTTTCACTCGCTCCCTCCTTCGTCACTTTTCTGTTTTTATGTTTCTTCATCCCCTCTCCGCTCTCCGTCTCTTTCTTTTTTGTCCTTATCCAGCAGCACGGTCTTCTGCTGAATCGGCCTTGGTTCGCCTCTTCCTCTTCCTCTTCGACACCTCCGATTCTCGATCTCTCGACTATCTCCTACCGCCTCCCGTCATGTCTTCGAAATCACCACTGCCCACGGTCAACACCCCCGCGGAGCCCGCGAAAGCGGCTTTGCACCCGGCCTTCTACATCGCGTACGGTTGAATTACTCTCTGCGACTCGAACTCAGACTAAAATACTCCCCTAGAACGTGGATTGCGCTCAGCTCGGGTGTTATTATCTTCAACAAGTGGATTTTGCATACTGCTGGATTCAGTGAGTATTGCGACGTGTGCTTTGATGTCCGCGGACCATGCTAATCGCGACCTTTTTCACCAGGTTTCCGTACGTCGATCCGTTCCCAAACACCGTTGTCGAATGCCTCCAGAACTGACAATATGTTGCTACAGCCCTGTTCTTGACGACATGGCACTTGGTGTTCGCTACCATCATGACCCGCCTGATGGCGCGGTTCACGACCCTGCTCGACTCCCGTCACAATGTGCCCATGACCTCGCGCGTTTACATGTTCGTCTCTCTTGCGTTGGATGATACACAGTCGCTAATTGGAATGGTCTTAGGCGCGCTATCGTGCCCATCGGCGCTTTCTTCTCGCTGAGTCTGATCTGCGGCAACCTGGCCTACCTGTACCTCAGTGTTTCCTTCATCCAGATGCTCAAGGTAATCGTATCGAAATCATTCAACTGAGCGGGGATGCTAAGTGTTCCAGGCCACTAACTCCGTTGCGACTCTCCTCGCGACCTGGGCTATGGGCATTGCGCCAGTGCGTCTGAGCTTGCTCGGAAACATCTCCTTCATCGTCATCGGTGTCATCATCGCCTCGATCGGCGAGATCAAGTTCACCATGATTGGCTTCATCTGTATGTGCTCTTATGTCCTCATAATCTTGATTCCGTGCTCATGTCGCGGCAGGCCAATTCTTCGCCACCATCTTCGAATCCGTTCGCCTGGTCATGGTCCAGCGCCTCCTCAGCTCCGCCGAGTTCAAGATGGACCCCTTGGTTTCTCTCTACTACTTCGCGCCCGCTTGCGCTATCATGAATGGCGTCATCACTGCGGTCGTGGAACTGCCGACCATGCACATGTCCGACATCTATAACCTTGGAGTTGGCACTCTTTTCTTGAACGCTGCTGTTGCTTTTGGCCTCAATGTTGCTGTCGTCTTCCTGGTATGTCGACATGAACCTCCGGTGGAGAATCTGGCTAATGTGATTGTTGCAGATCGGCAAAACCTCTGCTCTCGTGCTCACGCTGTCCGGCGTCCTCAAGGATATCCTGCTCGTCGTGGCATCGATGGTCATTTTCCGCGATCCGGTCACGCCCCTTCAGTTCTTCGGCTACGCGATCGCTCTGGGTGGACTCATCTATTACAAGCTCGGAAAGGATGGCGTTACATCGCTGTTGGCCCAAATTCGCTACAACGTTGTTGGCGGAGCTCGCCCTTAGGCCAATCGAGTTTGGCGTTGACGACGGTGCCGAGAGTGCTGAAATATGCCACTGCACCGTCGGGAGAGTTTGTGAAGGGCGAGGAAGAGAAGAGGATCATACCCGAGAAGAGCTGATCAGCAAGATAGAAACAATCGTGTATAGACGTGCAGGCCAAGTGATGTATATAATGGTGTGATGATACGATAGAATGATACCTATCTCAGGAACCGCGAGTGTCACAAATCCGCGTCATCTCTACATCTATTCTAGATCCCACTCTATACACACCCCTTTCCCCGCCCGCAAACCATCCCTACAAGTTCCCCGTAAGCGCAGCATCCACAAACTTCAACGCCTCAGCATACGCCTCCATCGCCCCGTCCGCCATTTTGGGTGGAAACCCCGACTTCAAATCCACCAACCCATGGCCCGCATCCTGCACGAGCAACAACTCCGTCCGGATCCCCAACTGGCCCAACTGCTCGTGTTGAAATTTGCTCTCCAGGTCAGGCACGACCTCATCCGCCGTCCCATGCACAAACACAGCAGGGGGATACCCCTTCCCGACGTAATTCTGCAAGAAACCCGCCCTCAACGCCTCCGGCACCGCCTCCTTCCTCCTGGCATACTCCACCTTGTTAAGCTCGGCCCCTAATCCGGGGTGTCCAAACACGCCGTCCAAAAACGTGCCGTCGATTTCCCACCGCACCGTCAGCGCAAACCGGTTCGAGTTTCGGTCGAGATCATCGCTGACGACCGTCCGATTCGCCAGCAGGCGCGGGACATCGTCGAGGTCGACTAGTTCGGCGATGGAGGTCGGCGGCCGCGGCTGCGTCCAGTGGTCCAGCAGGAGGTTGCCGCCGGTGCCGTAGGCCGTCATTAGCACACAGGGTTTGGGGGAGGCGTAGACGCACGCGGCACGGGCGGAGTAGGCGCCTGCCGAGACGCCGGTTACTGCTATCTTGGTTGTGTCGAGAGTTAGGGAGGGGGATGGGAGGGAGGATTGGAAGGCCGGGCTGGCGAGGAAGGTGAACAAGGCCTTGGCGTCGGCGATTTGGTCGAGGGCGGTGCTCGGGTGGCAGAGGCGGTAATCGGCGGCGATGAAGATGTAGGTGTTTTTTTGGCAGTGGTCTTTTGGATGATTATGGGTTAGTTGAGTTGATGGGGGGGATTGAGGAGCTGAGGGAGGGACGGGCACCGTAGAGCCAGGTGGGAAAGTGACCGTCGCGCCGTGAGCCGGCGGTCATGCCGCCCCCGTGGTAGTAGATGATGGCGGGCAGGTGGCCGCTCGTCGTGTTGCGCGGTAGGTAGTAGTCCAGTTTGATGTCGTGGCCGTCTACCGTGGAGTAGACCAGGGTCTTGCCGCCTTCGGGGAGTTGGGTCTTCGGGGGAGGCATTGTGGGTGCAATTGGTGTTGTGTTGTGTTGTGTTGTGGTTGGTAGTTTGTAGGCAGCAGCAGCAGCAATTGAACTTATAGGCGTGCATGAGGTAATGGTCTAGAAGCCCGCATGTGGGGGGATTCGGGGGTTTTGGCCCCGCCGGGGATGAATTCATTGCCGCCTTCTCTATCTACAGTAACGTTACCATTCTCTTCTCTGGACCGGTTCCTCTTCTCCACTCTCCTATTTGTGGTCCCTGGAAAAAGACTAAACCTAATCACCGTCCATAAATAATGGTTGCTAATCTTTAGGCCAAGGCGATGCTATCTCCAGCGAGGACTGAAGTCTCCCCGCGCCCATCGTTCTCGGGTCTCTTTCAATATCTCGCGCGGTGTTTCTCCTGCAAGGTTGGCTTGATCCATGGAGGCCCCAGCATCCTGGAGAATCTTGATCATCTTCTCGAGCGCGTTAAACCCTTCTGCAAGCGGAGTTTCCACAATTTCGCCGTCATCCATCCGTCGTCCCCTGGGAAAGATACTTGCCCCAACAGCTAGATGTAGCGGAGCATTTCCCTTCTTGTTGACTGCGTTAACGTTGGCACCCCGGCTGAGCAGTATACAAACTGCGTGGGTTTGAGGAAGTCTCCTTGCAATATAATGCAGTACGGTATCGCCGTTCACATCGGAATTGTTGATGTTGACCAGTGGCAGGATCTTCTCCAAGGTCTCAGCATCAATTAGCCTGGTATTGCTGTCTCTCATGGCCAATCTGTACAACATGGTTCGACTAGACTCATCGCACATGCTCGGATCTGCCCCATGCATAACTAGAATATCAAACAGCTGCAAAAATATTTCACACCGGACGCCGTCATCTGTGCGATGTGATACAGCGTAATGCAAAACAGTTGAGCCCGGTCTGTCCGCGTCGGTGTCCCGGGCGTTCAGGATGTCCCGGTCGGGTCTGTACTCCAGAAGCAATTTCACTGCTGCGAGACAGTCGGCATCCCCCACACGACTGTTAATCGCATAGTGCAGCACTGTCTTGTTTGCTTGATCCTTCACATTGACCATCGCAGGCCCAATGTCAAGAAGCAATTTCACAGTGCGCAATAGGCGCGAGGTCACTTCCGAAGGAGTCAAGGTGGCTATTTCGTCCTTGTCGCCCATTAACGCCCAATGGAGTGGTGGCAGTCCGTTGTCATCCCTTCTCGTTACCATTTCGGCCAGTCCGATCCGACCGCGGTGGTCCACTAGCGCTTGTATCGCGTCCAGATTCCAGTGTTGGCTGGCAATATGCAGCGGTGTGACCCCGCCGCACCGCAAACCATGATCAAAGCCACAGGAATCATACCACGTCTGCACGACATGCGCATCGGCGCCTGCCGCGATCAAGCGGGACACCATTGCATAGCTGGCGCGGGTTACCACATTTCCCAACACAGTGTCCCCCAGGATCTCCTTATCGCCAGGCTGGGCCTGCCGTCCGAGTTGATAGGGAAGCATGTATTGATCCGCCTCGCGGACCGAAGCACCACTGGCCAAACAGAACTCGATAAACTCGCCATAGCGAGCGTGGTGCTCTTGCAACTTCTCTCGGATCCCCGCGGGACTTGTCTCCTTCATCTTTCTCTCCAAAGCCTGCACATTACCGGGAAAAGCTTGTGCAGCACAGACCAGCGGGGTCGCCCCCCTGGGGTCCCGATCCCGCCACGCGCCCAGGGGTGGTTGATGGTCGAGCAGGAACCGTGTCATCTTTCGATCGGCGTTGGCACAGGCGAGGTTGAGCAGTCGAAAGTCAAGTCCCTGCAGATATTCTTCCAGCGGCTGCCGGTGCGCGGGGTCGGATCGATAAATGTCTATCAGGGCGCGTAAAGTGTCAAGACTTCCATGATAAGCCGCGGAATAGAATGGCGGCAGCGGGTAGTAGCCGGAAAAGCTTACTTTCATCCGGCTGAAAATATCCTCACCACGCTCTTTTGCTTGTTCGTTGTAGCGAAGGAGACGGGGCACGTCGTTTTGTTCGATGATCAGATGTAGCTCATCTGGTTGATATTCGAGTTTAAATTCGTACTCGGGTGTATCATGCATGATTGCGGAATCGGGCTCATCGTCCGATTTATTATCATGAAAGGCATCGGATGCCATTGTGGCCCGAGATGAAGAAGTCACCCAAGAACAGGGTAGGGAGGCGGTAGAAGAATAACACCTAAATGATGTTGCCTTTCGGGATTACTTCACAGAGAGAACAAAAGATATGAGGGGCCGAGTTGCGTCTATCTTATTGGCTGATCAGAGATCGATTTGTCCATTGGGGATGAAGACGAGAGCCCAAAGGGTCGTTAGGGGTCGAATCAGAAAATTTCTAAAGTACATCACATGACGGTACGGTACTACTCCAATTATCTTTCATCGGATCGATAGTTAATTTAACGCTAAAGCTCAAACTAATAACCATAGTCTCTCGGACATGCTCCACTCAACTCTCCTGTCACAAGCCAGGAATAGGCGCCTAGTAGGATGGATGCAACCCCAGCCTTGCATATCTACCGCTTTAACTTCTAAAGATTCTTATGAAGACATCATCCACTGCCATGAAGGTCGATCTCTCAACCCTATGTTTCTTTCCCAGAGACCAAAGCATCGAACTTAGTGTTTGTCGTGGTATTGCAAAGCACATATCCCCCCTTCGCGGTCGCTACAATGCTCTCAAATTCAAATGCTCGGAACCCAGGTTTCAAGATTGGGATTCTCGCTGCCTTGCCCCTAGAAGCACATGCTATCAGAGGGATATTCGATCGGATCGATGGCGAAGATGCGGAGACCGATGCAGCTAGACCTTGCATCAAAGCCCCAATGGACATGAACTCGTATACCACCGGCAAAATTGCAAATCACAGGGTCTTTCTCGCACACATGCCGGGAATGGGCAAGGTGAATGCGGCAGCAACAGCAGCGGGTATACAAGCAAGCTTTACCGAGCTGAAGCTTGTTCTGATTGTCGGAATCTGTGGCGGAGTCCCGCAAGCCCAAGATCAAATTCTGCTTGGCGATGTTGTGATCAGTAAGAACATTGTGCCGGCGGAGAATGCGATCTTCCACCCATATGGCCCAGTGCCAGAAATCACCGAGCAACCACAATTTGGAAGGCCTACGTGGGTAGTGCGTTCGTTGTTGGCCAAGCTCGAGGATCAGAAGACGGACCTCGAGAAGATAACGTGCAGATACCTGGACCGCTTGCTCCAGAAGCCAGGTTTTGCACAATCGCGGTATCCTGGGGAAAAGGAAGACCAGCTTTTCCGGCCGGACTATATTCACAAGCACCGCAACCCGCACGACTGCGACTGTGTTCAACCGGGAAAATCTTGCACTGTTGCAAAGCACTCCTCGTGTGACCAGCTCGGCTGCGAGCCTGCGTATTTGATCCCTCGGGGCCGCGATGAAAGCACTCAGACACTAATGCTTCATTTTGGCTCCGTTGCATCTGGAGATCAAGTCATAAAATCTGGTCAGCATCGCGACAAAATTGCACAGACAAAGGAAGTCATTGCTTTTGAGATGGAAGGAGCAGGGGCCTGGGACTATTTGCCATGTCTCATCGTCAAGGGTGTGTGCGATTACGCAGATAGTCACAAGAACAAGAAGTGGCAAAGGCATGCCGCAGCCGCTGCTGCGGCCTGTGCACGAGCTGTTCTAGATCTATATGAGAACTCTATAGAGCAGGATGAAGAATTGACACCATTACAGCAACGATCAGTATCACAATCTCGCGTCTTATGTTATGACGAGCTCATGGGACTCAATCAACAAGCACATTTGCAAATCGAATCAGCCGAGGAAAAGGCCACCATAAAATCGATGCGGTACGTCTCGGCACCCCTACATCCAAGACTTCACTGACAAATGATAGAAGTGGACCAACTCTTTTCGACAGGCTTCCCTGTATTTCAGAGGCGGTTTACAACCACTATGATAGACAGCATGACCCCTTATGTCTCGAAGGGACTCGGACGGCCGTTCTCATAGACATTTACGCATGGTCCGATAGCCAGAACAGCAATATGATATACTGGCTGACTGGATGGGCAGGGATAGGCAAGTCGACAATAGCTCGAACGGTTGCTTACACTTGGGGCGCTCAAGGCCGTCTCGGGGCAACGTTCTTTTTCGATGAAGTTCCAGGCGGCGGCAAGCGTAGCGCACGCGAGTTCATTACAACTATTGCTTACCAACTTGCCAGTGAATTCCCAGTCCTCATGTCTTTTATCTCCGAAGCGATGGTCAAAGACCCTAATATCTGCATCAAGTCACTTGGGGATCAGTGCCAAAAGTTGATCTTGAGACCCATATCCAGAGCTCGATTTGCTTTTCACGGACTGCCGATTGTGCTCATTGTCGATGCTCTTGACAATTGCGAGACTTCTGAGATTGGTATCGTCATTCGCTTGCTCGGGGATATCAGTTCGGCCGGTGTACGAGTTTTCATAAGTAGTAGGATGACACCCACCATAGCTTTCCACCGACGAAGCGAACACGATGGCCGGTTCCAGGCTTTTGAGCTGCAAGACATCTCCCAAGAAATCATTGATCAGGATATTTCTCTCTTCTTCCAGCAAGAGCTACAACAGCTGAACACAAACTGGGAACAGGGCGATAGCTTCGACGGCTTGTTGACAGAACCGGTGGTAACTTCCTCTGGGCGATAATGGCTGTCAGGTATATCCGGAAAGTTCCTGGGCTATGTGGCCGAAGATTATCGATGCTGCTGGATTCTGGAGCTACGGATTCGCCCATCGAAGCTCAATTTGACGACATGTATCTTGGCATTCTGAGCGAGGCAATGCCATCAGACCTGAGCAGTGAAGAGAGCAGCATATACTATGGCTTGCTGCGACGCTACCTGGGCGTCATAGTTATGCTGTTCAGGGAGATCGCTCCCGCTTCGTTCTATGAATTAATCGTCAAAGGAGATGGGCCTGGGGCGGATGGCATCGACGTCCATGAGGTTTTGAAGACTTTACAACCAATCATGGATATTTCAGACGACAGGCACAACAAGGAATCATTGATTCGTCTGCATCATCCACACCTGAGGTCCTTCTTAACGAGCCCCACAAGATGTACCGACAAGAGGTTCCTCGTGGACCCAAAACAGGCTCACTACGACACTCTGGAAGTTTGCTTAAAGTTACTTTCAGGCGTCTTTGAGCGAAGCCAGAATGAGACGGGAGACTTGAGCTCAGATCAACGTGATTTCATGGTCGACACAGGTGACGCTTGCACTGTGTGGGAGTGGACACCTGTAGCGCGCTACGCCTGCCGACACTGGGTGAAGCATCTTGAGAGCAGTGGAGTAGACGTTCGCCCCGGCGGGTTCGTCTCTCTTTTTGTCAAGAATCATGTTATCTGCTGGCTCGAGGCATTGGTACTGATGGAGTCGACTGACGAAGCGTCGAAAGACTTGGAATATTTGGCTTCCTCTATCTCGGTAGGTTGCGTCCACACTGCGCGTCTTAGTGCAAATTTAGTAACGTCAGAGCAGGATACGGAAGCATATGAATTTGGCACATCCCTGAGAGAGCTGAGCCGTTCATTCGCAGACCGAAAGGCACAGGTTGAGCAAAACCCTTCGATGATCAATTCAGCTCACCATGGAAAATTTGGTCAAATGTGATGGCTAAGGCTTTGCCGCCTTGAGACATTGACCTTGGGACATGGAACGGTATTTTAGGAGTGGTACTTGCACAGAATTGGCGCATGTTTTGGTTGGTCTTCTGGGAAGTCGACTCTACTGCAACATCCATTGTGCTTGAGCCGTAGCCTGCCTGCGGTCTGACGCTATGGAATAGCATTCTGGATTACGAGTCATTTCAGTCATGGATCGGAGGTCGATTGACTGCTAGTGAATTAATTGTATTGCTGAGCCATTTACCGCCCAGGCCCATTTGGAATCCCAACAATTCACACTAAGCCTGCCTAGGCAGTACCAAAAGGAATTGGCAATCTTCCTCTGCAACTGGTGCTGATTGAGTTAATGGTAGATATCGAATAGCGACTTAGGCAGAAGCTTTCCGCCAACGAACGGCCAAAGAAAATCCCGCTCCGTTCTATTCGACGTAATATTGTCGCTTAGAGCTGGCCAATGGGCCAAGCCACAGCATGTTGTCAAATCTCTGATCCTATTGTGCCAAGTGAGCAGGGCAGGGGTCTGTCACTCTGAGCCAATAGGGCTGGATGTGGTGGTGCAAGATAGGGACGGACTGATGCACTAAAAGCGCGCCGGCTGAAGAAAGTTTGGTCTCACTTCTAAGAGTCTGCGACTTTCGGACGGAAGCACAGCCGTTCCTCCCAACCTTTTTGCAATCCTCAATCCCGCTAGCTGACGGGCAGCAAGAATTAAGTTATGAGCCGGCCCACCCGAAAGAGGACATGTACTCGTCGCACCCGCACAGGATGTCAGACCTGCAAAACCAGAAGGATCAAATGTGACGAGACGCCAGGATCGTGCAACAACTGCAGCTCGACGGGCCGGACATGCGATGGGTACGAGACGGCCCGCCTCCCGATCGTCGCCAATAAGGGCCAATTCTATACCCCGTCCATTCACATCATCAATATCAACTTCCCCGGCATGAGCTCCGATGAGCGGCGATGCATCAACTTCTTCCAGACTCGCACCATGCCCATGCTGGTTAGCTTTTTCGAATGGGAAGTCTGGCGGCGTCTCGCGCTGCAGCTCAGTCAGGCTGAACCAGCGGTCGGACATGCCCTGGTCTCCTTGAGTGCCATGCATGCAAGCTCCGAGACGAATGGCATGTCTCGAAGCCGGGCATTCAATCATCGGACTCAACACCATCGTTTCGCAATCGAGCAATACGGCCGCGCATTGTCCGCCCTTCGCCGCCGTTTGACATCACAGGATCCCCACGTTTCCGTGATTGCGCTCGTCTGCTGCGTGGTGTTCACCTACCTCGAAGTCCTCCAGGGCAACAACGAGAACGCCTGCGCCCATCTCACCAATGGACTCCAAATCCTGTCTGGCGAGAAGGGGGACGCAGCCCGCGCGATCGTCCACGATAAACTGCAAGACTACCATCACGCCGACCGGTCGCCGGCCCTGACGCCGCAAATGGCCCTCCTAGCAGCCATCGCGCACCTGGACATCCAGATCCAAGTGCACCGATACGTATCGCGCCAAAGAGACGCCAACGGGGTACGGGGCGACAACCAGCAGCCTCTGCGCTTCCGCACCCTCGACGAGGCCTGGCGCGAGCTCGATCCGATCTCCGACAACGCCCTCGGCTACCTGACCATCGTCCAGCGCGCCTTGCAAGAACCAACCCCGGACGTCTTTCCCATTCTCATCGCGCAGCGCAAGCTCGCGACCCAACTCGAAGAGCACATCGCCGCCTTCCACGAGCTAGCGACCACCCAACTCCCGCACCCGACCCCCAAGCAAACCCGCTGCATGAACCTGATCCAGATGCAGCACCGCATTATCCGAACCCACGCCTACCGCGCGCTCCGGCTGTCCGAGGACGTGTGGGCCGAATTCGCCCCGGACCTCACGGAGGCCCTCATATTCGGCGAGGCCACGATCGCCAGCCTCGAGGCCGAGTTCGGCCCGCGCAACCTCCCCACCCTCGTCATGGACATGGTCATCATCCTCCCGCTGACCTGGATCGCCCTGAAATGCCGGGATCTGCCGACCCGCCGCCGCGCCGTGCAGCTCCTCCGCCGCTGGCCGCATTTCGAGGGCCCCCACCACACCAGCACGTTTGTCGCGCTCGTCGAGGGCGCCGTGGAGCTAGAGGAGGCCCGCCGCGATCCGCGCACGGGCATCATTCCGCCGGAGGCGCTGGTCGCCGATGTCTCGGTCGTGCAGAAGGAGGGCGCGCCGCCCGTGTTGGGGTATACCCTGGCCCATCTGGGGGGGCCGCACCTGGAGGTGCCGTTCCCGGTAAGTGCTGAGGGCGGTGTTTAGGGAAGGGATGGGGCTTGGGCTTGCTTTGCGGGGCGTTTTTGTTTGATCCAGAAAGGGGGGTCTGGGGGGTTCTCCCCCAGGATGCTCGTTATGCTTGGAGACTTGGGCCAGGTGGGCGTTCTGGGGGAGAACCCCCAGACCCCCCTTTTTTTTCACTCGACTATTACTTTCCTCTTCCTCTTCCTCTTTTCTTTTTTTTTGTTTTTCTTCTTTTTTTGGCTGCTAGACGTCTCATACTATCATATCTATAAAGAACCTCGTAACCGACTATGAAATCGATGGTGAGCCAGGAATCGGTCTCCGCTGCTAAATACATAGCATGCTCCTGAGCTTGTCCCATAATCCAATACCCATGCAATACATAGCGGGCCGAGGGGGTAAGTTACAGTGGTTGTACTACAGTTTTCTCCGGTTATATAGAGGTTTTATAAAGTTGTATAAATTTCTTACTAATTATAAGCTCTTTAAATCTAGGCATACTAATCTTTATGTAAATAATAGATTATACTAAAACTATATCTTTTTAATTAGATCTAAAGTAGTTTTTATACTATTTTACTATAATAATATACTTTAATCTTAAAGTTATACTAACTATTATATTCTTTATTTATACTTATTTATAATAGTAATTTAAACTGTTAATATAACTGTTCTACTCTGTAAATAAGGTATAAGTAAATATAATCTTATCTAAACCTTACTAAAAATAGGTATAACCTTATCTAAATCTTACTAAAAATAGAAGTATCACCTTATTAAAATCTTACTTTACTATTTACTTTTTTCTTAATATAGTCTTTTTAATTTCTTATATATATAATTATTTACTGGAGGATAAAATCTTTTTTTTATATAATATATCTTAACTTTTATATTTCTTTTTTATATAATATATCTTAACTTTTTTATTTTTTACTATTTATTTTTTTATTTTTTATAACAATCTTTCTCTACTTTTTTATTTTTTATACTAATCTTTTTATCTTTTAAAATATATTTTAAAGTCTGTATTTTTTATATTTTTAACATTTTTAATATCTACCTTCTTTCATCTTTAAGTAAGGTAAGTAAAACTAAGTTTCAGCTTTTATTTTAGCTTTAAAACTAAGATTTTAATATCTTTTTATAAGTAGTTTTTAAAGTTACAGAGCAACACCCAGCAACTTTTTATAATATATAATAATATTTTTTTTTATATCTAGTAATTTTTTATAATATATAGTAATACTTTTTCTTTTTTACTATAATACATAGTAATCTTTTATAATATATAGTAATCTTCTGTAATATCCAGTAATGTAATTAGACTATATAGTAAGTTAATTTATTTATTAAATATATATAAAGAGCTTTCAAATAATATATATTTAAATAACAGTAATAAAAACAAAAATAAGTAAGTAACAGAATTTAATTTTAAAAAAGAATATATAGGATTATAGAAGGTATTATATTTAACTTTATATAAATTATAGTTTAACTGGCTGAAGTTACTATTAGTTAAACTATATTAAATTAAACTATAAAATAACTATTTAAAATCTGTAAAAAAAAAAGAGATGTTTTACTAAAGATAGTATAAAAATATTTAGTTTATAGTAAAATAAGCAGGCAGCAATAATTCTTAGTACTTATTTTAAATAAAAAAAACTGGAATAAAGCTGACTATTTTGCTTGCTTTTTATAGACAGTAAAACATACTAATAAAATAAATTATAAAGATATTTTCTTCCGGCGGAATATAAGTAATAAGAAAAAAAAAAGGCTGTTTGTTGTACAATACCTGTGGTATGCGGCCGCCAGCCCCCCACTCCAACACTGCTATTGTTACTGATTTATCAGGCTTCTAATCCGGGTTTTTATATTAGTATAAAGCTGACTTTTTTTTTTAAAATATATATAAGTACTCAAAATCCTTAGGGGATTAGGGATTTCTAAGGATTAGTTTTGTAATTAATAAAAGACTATTTTTAACTGCTTTTATTTTGTTTAACTAATATATCTACTATATTAAGTAGTTTCTAATAATTTTTAATTCTTCTATTCTTCTGGTTATCTAAGAAAAAGTAGTATATCTTTTACTAAATCTTTACTAAAATCCCTTTAGAGTACTTTATCTGTTTTAGAACAGAATCATCGTATATAAGCAGATATTTAAAAAGTAAAAGCTACTATCTACTAATTAGAATAGTTAAAATATTTAAAAAAATAGGTCTAAATTTTATAAACTAAATATAGAGCTATTAAACCCTTAGTAAGAATAAGTTAATATTATATAAGTTATATCTTATTCTCTAAAAAGAAAAAAAAAGAAATTAAATTTAAAGAAATCCCTATATTCTCCCTTTAATTCAGCCTATAATAAAGAACTGAATAGATTTGTAATCTATAATATACTTTTAAAAGTACTTTTTAAAAGTACTAAACTAAAAACTAAAAAGTTTTAGCTGTAGTTAGCTATCTAGACTCTATCTATTAGCAGAGGTAGTATTAATATATTAATAAAAAATTATTAAAAGACTATAGAAGAGCTAAAGAATTATAGGATTATTTTATTTAATAGATTTTTTTTTATTTAAAATACGGTTATTTTATAATCTAATACTATAAAACAGCTTAAACAGGCCTATTAGTAAAAAGATTAAGATCTAAAAAAGTTCTACTTCTATTTGGATACTTTAAAATAATACTTTAAGCTAAAATAAGAAAATAAATATATTTTATTTTTCTTCTCTAAGTTAGTACTAAAGCTTAGTTAATATATATATAAATATATATTAAAACTACTGGAAACTTAAGAGAAGATGGTATCTATTACTATTTATTATTAAAATATACTAATCTATAAAAAAAAATAAAAGTTGGATGTTTAAAGCTATTCTAATAAAAGCTTTAAAAAATTAAGATTCTTATAATAAAACTATAAATCTTCTTTATTAAAATCCCATCAAAATAGAAAGAACTATAAGGGGGAAATATTCTATTATTATATATATAATAGTAAATTTTATTTCTTAAATTATTATTCTTAAAAGGGCCGAGGCGGAACTAAAAAAAAACTAATAAAAAAAAATTTAGTTAAAAAAGTTTTTATACTTTTAATTAAGTAGCCTAAAGTAGAGACTGTTACTTATTTTACTATACCTATTTTTTTTTAAAATACTTTTAAAACCTATATAGATTTGGATTTATATGCTAAAGTTAATTTAATCAGCTACTAATTTATTCTACAGTTTTATTTAAATACAGCTTATTTTACAGCTTTATTAATTATTACTATTAATTACTTTATCTTATTTATTTATAGTATATAGAAGATTCTTATTACTGCTACTAATTTAAAAAAGATTATACAGTCTTTTATAAAATCTTATATAACTATTAACTAAGATCTAAAACTTTTTAGAAGCCCTATTTTGCTTTCTATAACTATTTTAAAAAATCTATATATTTATTTATTTATATAGAATTGTTAATAGTAGTATAAGATCTAAATATTAAAGATTTTAATTTTTTATAAATTTATATAAGCTTATTAAAACCTTACCTATATCTATACTGTAATAAAACTTTCTAAAAATATCTAATTACCTAATAATAAAAACTTTATAGAAAGTCTGGAAAAATTTATTAACTAAGTAATAATATCTTTAGAACTTTATGATTTTTCTAATATATTTTTTTTAAGCTGTTTATAATAACTTTTTTTATAGCCCCTTTAACTATACTATTAATCTAAAAAAGGGTAAAACCCTGCTGTATAGGCCTATTTACTTTTTTTTTAAATAAAACTTTAGTCTTTTTATTATTATATTAATAAGAACCTCCAGCTAAAGCAGATTTGATTTTTAAAAAATCCTATAGGGGCTTCTATTCTTTTTATACCAAAAAAGAATAGAGGTCTTTAATTATATATAGATTATAGAAGATTTAATAAGATTTTAGTTAAAAATTATTACTTTTTATTTTTAGTTTTAAAGATTTTAGACAGGATTGCGGGAGCCCAGTACTTTTTAAAACTAAATATTTAAAATACTTATTATTAAATTTATATTAAGTAAGGGAATAAATAGAAGACAGCTTTCTAAATCTGTTATAAATATTTTAAATATTTAGTTATACTGTTTAGTTTGACTAATATTCTAGCTATATTTTAATACTATATCTATCTAGCTTTTTATAATATTCTAGATCTTTTTTATATTACTTATTTAGATAATATTCTTATTTTTTTTAAAAACTATTCCTTTTATACTCTCTATTTATATTAGGTATTAGAATACTTATAAAAAACAGATCTTTATATTAAACTGTTAAAATATACCTTTTTCTAAGACTATATTAAGCTTTTTAGATATATTATATTTTAAAATAGTATTTTAATAGACTTTTAATAAGTATTTAATATATTTAAGTAGCTAATCCCAACTATATACTATAAGATCTAAGTCTTTTTAGATTTCTGTAATTTTTATTAATATTTTATTAGAAATTATTTTTTAATTACTCTGCTATTAACTTCCCTTTTAAAAAGTATTTAAAAAAAAGCCTAAAAAGATTAAATTTACTACTAAAAAAATAACAGTATTCTAATAATTTTTTATAGCTTCTAAACTGCGCCTTTACTAAGACATTTTAACCTATAAAAATAAATCTAAATAAAAATAAATACTTTTTAATAGGGTATAGCAGGAATATTATCCCAGCCAGATAATTAAAAAATATATTACCCTATTATATTTTAGTTTAAAAAATTTAATAGTTCTAAAACTTGCTATTTAACCCCAGATTAAAAGCTTTTTACTATTATTTATTTTTTTAAGTATTAGTATTAATATTTTAAAAGGCTATTATATACAGTAGAGGTTTTTTTAAACTATTAAAATCTTTAAATATTTATAAAACAGCTGAGACTAAATAGCTGTTAGGCTTAATAGTATATATATTTTAATAAATATAATTTTATTATTTAGTATTAGTCCGGCAGGCACAACCCTGCTAACCTACTATTAAAAATAAAAAAGATTTTAAAAGTCCTACCTAATAAGAAGATTTTAAAAATAATATAGTATTAAATATCTAATAAATCCTTAACAGATTGTTAACTAGTCTAGATAAAATCTTAGTCTAAATATAATAAGATGTTTTTATAAAAAAGCCCTAAACTTAGTACCTATATAGTATTAAGCTTTTGAAAAGATTAAAAAAACTAAAAAGCTGGTATAAAAGCAGCTGACTAGGCTGTTAGAGTAAAAGTATTCTATAATTAATATATTAATATATTAACAGTATTCTAAATATATAAGTATAAAAACTTTTTATATTCTAAGATTAATAAGAAACTATATTTCCTAATTAGAAGAATCTAAAAAGAAGATATAAAAATATACTATTAAAAACTTACTATTTTATAAGGTAATCCAGAACTAAAGTATTAGAAAATTAATAAAAATAATCTTATTATTTATAAATACTACTTATATATTTCTATAGGAAAATACCTTTAGTAATATTTACTTAGTTTTTATTATAATAACCAGCTAGCAGGCTATTTTAGGCAGTTAAAAATAAAAGCCTTTTTTAAATAAAAGTTTTATTAGATAAATCTTTATAAAGATATAGTTATTTATATTAGAAAATATTTAGTCTGTTAGGGGATTATTTTTACTAAGTATAAGCCCTACAGCAAGCTTAAATTTCTACTGATTCTAAATTAATTTTTTAATAAACTATTTATAGATTTTATTATAAAACTACCTTCTATTATAATAAAGAATAATATTTAGGATTTAATTCTTATTATTATTAATAAATTTATAAAGTAGTATTATTTTTTTTTTATTTTATATACTATTACTGCCCCAGAACTTGCTAAACTTTTTTATAGAGAAATTAAACTGTAATATAGTCTACTATAGGATATAGTTTTTAATAAAGGCTTTCTTTTTACTAGTAAATTCTGGTTTTAAATAATATATTATATTCAGATTAAACTGTAGTTATTAATAGTATTTTAATTTTAAACTAATAGCTAAACAGAACAGATAAATCAGACTTTTAAATAATATTTATATTATTTTATTAATAAGAATTAGTTTAATTAGCCGGCTTTACTGCCTTCTGCTTAATTTACTTATAATAATATTTTAAATTCTATTACTAGGTATTTATCTTTTAAGGCCTTTATAGGCTATTTATCTAATTTTTATTTTTATACTAAGAATATTATACTATAGAAAGGGGTTCCTGCAGTTAAAAACTAAATTAATAAATTAGCTGTATTATAAAAAAAATTATAAAATTACTGGTAAAAAGCTAATAAGATCTAAGTAAAATACTATAATAAAAATCATCAACTAATAACCTTTAAAAAGAGTGATTTAGTAAAGCTGTTTATTAAAAATCTAAAAATTAAGATTCTATTTAAAAAGTTAGCCCCCCAGTATATCAGACTTTTAAGAATTCTAGCAGTTATTAAAA